AATTTAGGCGTTAAACCTCAAATAATGTTCAATCCATTATGTTTATCCATATAAATATTATACATGTGAAAGTAACTATATATGTGTGTGTTACGCAATCACGCATAAGCGAATATGATAAGGCTAGCGCCTGAGAAAGGGCATAGGCTACTATTTAGTACGTAAAAAGGGGTTGAAATAGGGTTACAAAGTTTGTATGGAAGTTACGTCATTTTTAAAGTTAGAAATTTGAAACTAATTTTTTAGGCTTTTGATTAGATATATATAAATGCAACATATTCCAATAATTTCGTCCTATTTGCCATTTCAGTTTATTACAAACCCGTGTATCAAACCCGCACAATCTTTATGTTTTCGTATTCGATTAATTAAAAACTTCGTGTATAAAATGTGGTAAAATAAATTTACAGTAATTTTAAGTACTGTAAATAGCTAATTGTTTTTTATTCATGTGTTTTTTGCAACTAAAAAATACTATGCCTGCTTATACTGCTGAAAGTCTGCTGAAAGAAAAAAGTTCTATTTCACACGTTCGAAGTCGTTGGCACAGGTAGTTGACACATAAATGTTGAAACGAGTTTTTGCAATTAAAATAGGCACTTATAAAAGGTTTTTTGACATTTTTATCTAAGAAACATTTTCGTTTATCATAAAACCTTGAATAAAATGTGGTAAAGTAATTCATACTAAAGTAAATAACAACCGTCTTTTATTGATGTCAGTATCTCAATGCGGTTTAAGGTAGATAATTTAGATAAATAACGCGTAAAACGAATTTCCACAAACATAAAGGTGGATTTAAAAATAAAATTACATTCGATAAAAACCCTCCTTTGTAAGAATGAGCAGTACTTAATATATACTTAGTTTACACATTTTAGAAATCTTTAGAAATGTGTATATAATTATCACAAAGATCAATTATTGCAGTGAGCGAGGTTTCGTAGTTAATTGAAAAAGAAATTTATATGTAAGGAACTTAAATATAAATTAAACATAAAACAAATATGAAATATCGCAAACGTTATAGATATTCGTAAGCGAAGATTGAAAAAAATATAGTTAATATTATATTTCAAACACCTATTTAATTCCTCTAAAACATCTAACTAGTTAAGGAAATATTTGTATTTCCTTAACTAGTTAGATGACTATTTTGACTATACATATATATTAACTAGTTTGAACATGTAAACAATTGTTTAACGTTTACTCAGAAGTGCAATGTTACGGTAAAAATCGCAGACTCAATGCCTTTGTCGAGGTCAGCTGCCTGTGGCAACTTTCACTAATTGAAGATTCTGATCTCACCCTGATCTTTTTGTTGCTGATCCATTTTGAGTCCGTTATCGTTCTTCGGCACTCGAGTTATCACTCACGATCACGAGACTAATCCATTGAGATACACTTACGGCAAACACTACTAACAGACTGAACGGCCGTTTCTGGTGAGTCGTTTTCGTTTATGCGCCCGCGCCGCACTGTCACTATCGTCGTTTACTAAACGAAATGATTTCCAATTGACGATACTTTGCAGCAGATAAACAAAACAAAGCTGAGCTTTGTTTTTGTGTATAAACTGGATATTTACTATATAATAAACTATTAACTATAATATGATAGCAATGACCTACTTCGTAAATTAACATATCGGTCCTATTTCTACTAAATAAATATATTGTCACTGCTTTATAAAAGAACCTATCCAGCTATTAATTGTGGACCGCTTTCTGCTGCTTGAGGACGTACTATTCTAGGTCAAGATCTAGGTATTACATTATGTTTTTTTTTCTTTTCTCCGACCAGTGCTGTATTACATTGAACATTCGACCACTTATTAGAAAACTATTTTTTATTTAAAAGTCAAATAACATTATCAAAGCGTATAATTATATAATAGAGCTTTATTTAATGAAACGCCTAAAGTCCAAATATGTACTTTAATAATTCATATGTATAAAAATGATTTTCGCAATTTAAACTAACAATGAGTTGTTAATTCGATTCATTAGGGTGTATTCTAGGAAATTTATTTACTCATAATATAGAGGTATATGTTAATTTTGGTTCTTGCACAATAATATCTATAATATATAAGCTATGACAGACCGAAATACAAAGCCGAATGGCATAACGAGGAGGCCTATACCAATGGTGTTCCAGCCCTAAACTAAAAACCCAAATTTACATTTTAGCTTACATGCTTAAGTATTTTGTGTTATGTCTTAAATATCTGTTTTATAAATTTATAAATTCGGAAATACAATAAAGAAGCTTCAAAATATTTGATAAAAACGCAAACGCAAATGAGGGTCTTGTCACCATTTAACCACTATTAAAATATGACCTTCACTCAATTGATCCAAATTTGTTATTCCTATAGTTTACCAACCTTATGTGGACTTTCAATACAGATATGGGCTATATTGACTTAAACAATGATGGCTTTCAGGTGCGTGTCATCTATTTAGAAACCTTTTATAACTCACGAAAATGTTTTTGATATGTATTGTACCACTTATGTACAATGAATAGTATTTTTTACTAAAGTTCCTTATATGGTGATTTTTACTGCTCCGTAGTATTAACACTGTAAGAAATGCCAAATGAAGCGCCTAGTGAACACACACAGATAAATGGTTTAGGTTTTGATGATGTAATATTAATAACATAATCTATGTTATGCAATATTATGGCTAGGCAATATTATCAATAGGCGTGGATCATCACTAATAGAAATGTACCTACTTCATATATTGACAGCATTCTTTGCTTGCGTAAACAGCAGTTACGCAAAATTTATCCATGAGAGAGTGATCCGAAAAAGTTGTGACAACATATGTGTATCTTTTAAGGTTGCAAAGGTTGTTTTTATAAACATATCCAAATAAACAAAATTGCCCTTGCATTATTTGATTTCGATTATAATATTAGAGATACCATAATTGAAGATAAACCTGTGGCGCCACAACCCTGTATGGGTCTTCGCTACAGATTGCATTTATTTATTGAGCACTTCTATTGATGGAATGATCAGTCTTATGTGTTCAATACATGTAGATTAGGGTGTAATTTATTTATTTCCCACATAATTATATCTTTACAGTTATCACTGATGCGATAGAATTATGCAATATAATACTTACACCTTAAAAACTACAATTAAAAATACAAATAATGTTTACCTTCACCGTATCTGGACATACAAAAACATCCACCTTTGCACAGACGGGAGTCAAACACGATAGGTTAATACTGCCAAAAATCAATCTTGAACTGTTTAGGAAAAACAACTTTTGTATGGCAATTAAGTTTTACAATAAATTACCAAAAGATTTAAAAGATCTTCCGAGTCTTTAAAAAGCGACTTGGTGTATTACTTTTGGGTAAAAATTTACTGTTCAATAAATATTAAATGATTATTTGCGTGAGACACTGTAGTTGATATAAATGTAATAAAGTACGATATGATATGTAGGATACAAATAATATAAGACTTGACTTTGACTAATAATGTAAAATGTAAAATTGTGTATGGCAGAATATGCGAACCACCTTGTACCACCTTACACATTTTTGTACCATATTCTTGCAATAATAAATTATTATTATTATTAGCTCGATTAAACCACTAAGCCTGCCGTATTAGTATAAATGCTAAAAAAATAAAAGACTAATATAATCGAATTTTATTTATGCACAATCCTCTTTAATATCTGCCTTATGTACATAAAACGATCGTTCTACAGCTGACGCACGACGTATTGCGTTCGATTCTCGATGTAACAAGCATTGTTGCTGTTAAACTATCGAAAAAGGCGCAAAAATATTAGGTTGAAATTGCGGGACCTAAACATTAATCAATACTAAAGTTTGTGGATTGTTTATAGTACGATTTTGTGTTTTTCTACTTAGGTTACAGTTCCTACTTAGGTATTGCTTATAAAAATATTTCATATCTGCTACACATGAATGTCGAAAAATGTATTATGTAATGTTAATAGCATACCAAGTATGAACGTCATATCAAAAACATAATACCTCCCATCAATTTTCTTATTTAGAGATAATATTATTATCCACTTTGATGTTATCAATATCGTATAGGCATGCAATGTCTACGTAACCATAATGCGATAAAAATATGATTGTGATTTTGTCGATTTGGTGAGTTAAAAGACTTTACCTGCATGAATTTAGTTTTATATTAGTAGAGTATGCAGTAATGATTGCAGCTTACAAGCATATTGTAAACTTGATTGAAAAGAATGGAATTAAAAAGAGTGGCAAAGAGTTTCTTTCTTGTTTTTCTCGTCCGGTCTATGCTTTTGATTAAAAAACTAGAAGTTTACGAGTGTACATTTCGCTACTATTTTTTATTGACCTATAACATTTTATAAATAATAATAGGATAAATTAATTGTAGATACACACTAGGTTCTATATAGTATGTGTAAGTTAGAAGGCACAGTTTTATAAAATACTATTGCAATTTTATATATGTATTAACATATTTAATATGTACAGAAACATTGTAAATATTAAAATTAACAATATCTAATATGCGGTTTTTCTCTATTGTCATATATTGTATTTTTATTATGCATCTGCATTTATTTATGTCTGTGAACGAGCGTCCAAAAAATTATTACTAGTCATTAGTCACATAATGCCTGTTGTAACATCGATGCGACTTTCCTGCACTTTTGTAAAAACTATTATACCTACATATTGTTAGAAACTAATATTTTTATTTTATATAGTTTATTTTCAAATAATTTCATAACACGATATACCTTAGTTACTCTAAATTTTCTAGCTAAGTGAATGTAATCATTGAGAAATAAAGTATCTTTGAACCGAACTACACTCATTACCACACTTATTCACGTAGGTATGTATTTTTGGTTATTAACTAAAAAGGAAACAACATATCATTTGTATATAAATAGTTACTTAACGATATTTCAACATATTTACAAAAATATATGCATTATTTATCACTTTTGGAATACATTCTTTGTTTTCTTTCCAAATTTTTCTCCCTCATCCAACGTCGTCATTAGTTCATTCCCTTTCGTTTCCGGCAGCAAAAATGAAACAAATCCAGCACATAATGGTACTACTGCAAAGGTGAGGGCTGCCCAGAATGGCGACGTATCACCAAGTCCCACGACAAATGGCGCTATCATTGAACCTACTCTAGCCATCATGGAAGAAAATCCTATCGCAGCATTTCGTACCACTGTAGGAAACAACTCAGTACAGTGCAGGTACACTACTACAAACACCACAAAACTAGTGACGACGCCAACACAAGCACACACAACAGACCAGGATCCGGGCGGTAGCACAGAGAGAATTATTAAGACTCCCGCACAGATAAAGTTGAATACTATCAAAATAGTCCGACGGCCCAGTACCTTCATCAATGGAATAGAACAAAATGTTCCTAACATAGTTACGCCGGCACTAGCAGCCACATTCACAAACAAATTACCACCCAGCTGACCAACGTATTGCGAAACACCATAGAAACAGTAACTGCACGTTAACCAGTTAAACGACATCGCCAGTATGTTCTTTCGCAAATTTGGTGTTCGGAATAAGTCCAAAATACTGCCTTTCTTTAAATTATGTTTCTCTATTTCCTTTTGGTATTCTCCTATTTTTTGAGCTAAATTTTCCGTGGGTAGATTGTTCCTGCAAATAAATGATACAATATTTTATCTTTATAATTCATTCGGTTAGACATTCGGGTGTAAAAATTACTGTACTCACATCTTTGCTGCTTTCTCTATTATTTTTACAGCCTCGTCTGTCCTTTTCATTGCAATTAACCATCTGGGTGTATCAGTTACAAGAATAACGTACGACAATAGAACTACATTGGGAATGGTAATGGCGAGCTGAAATTTGTCGTAGCTTCTTCTAAAATATCCAAAGACGGGTAGGAGCATATGACCCATATTAAAAGGCACATGATAGAGGGCTGAAATTACGTCCCTATATTGGGAACCAACGCTTTCCATAAGAATTACAAAACTTGTAACCATTGTACCTCCCACTGATACTCCAACGAAAAATCGTACAAATGTAAAAGACCAGAATTCCGCTAGGAAACTTGCAACTAATCCCATCACAAATTGTAAAACAATCGCTGCTAACAAAGGATTTTTTCTTCCATACCTGTAATAAATATATTAATTAATGTTTGAATTCCCTTTTCTTAAACAAAAAATCATATGATCACATATATTACTTATACCTGTCAGATGCGATTCCAAACACAACACTACCTATCAAAGTACCCAATTGGAAAAGAGTTTGAGTAAAACTCGACATCCATTTCTTTTCACAAATCAAGTCCCATTCCATTATAATTGTATTTTTGAAAACTGATTTATCATATTTGGGATTTGAACATGGACAAGAATTTTGGAGGTCATTATCCAAGCAAAGATAATCAGTCTTTGGAGCCAAAAATATTATAGCCATTCCGTGGAAGGCTACGGGAAACTTGATAAGGAACATAAGAAAACATAGGAAAAACTGATATTTGCCAAATGCTCCTATCGCTTTCTGAATGGCGTCAACGTTCTCGCTGGAATCAATCATTTCTGAAAAGAAAATAACCTTTTGAAGTTTTTTAAAGAGTTTGAAATATTTATTGAATATGATAGTAATGGGAAAAGATGGTTAATGGATTAATTAAAAACTTCGTACTTAAATAAATTTGCAGTAAAATTTTGTAAGTAGGTTATATAAAATATATATATATTTTAATCATGTGTTTGTTTGCAAAAGAATTGGCCTGAAAAGATTAAAATACTGCCGAAAGAAAAAAAATCTACATATTCGTAATCGAAGATTGAAAAAAATATATTTGATAGTAATAAGTAGTATATTTCAAATACTTATTTAAAATATCTCCTCCTGTAAAATATCTTAGTAGTTAAGGATTTTTTGCATAATTGGTTTAAACATATAAACCCTTGTTTAACGTTCATTCATAAGTACAATGTTATGGTAAAAATCGCAAAGACTCAATGTCTTTGCCGAGGTCAACTGGCTGTGGCAACTTTCATTAATTGAAGATTCTGATTTCTAATTGACGACAGTGACCAGATAAAAAAACAAAGCTGGGCCTTGTATATAAACTGATTATTTACTATTTAACAAACTTTTAACTATATAATGTAATACCTATGACCTTCTACGTAAATAATCATCCCGGTCATATTTCTACAAAAATAAATATTGTCACTGCTTTATAAAATACCCTTACCAATCCCGCTAATATTTGTGGACTGCTTCCTGCTACTTGAGGGTTCCATATTTTATTCAAGTACTTAATCCGGATATATTGTAGAACTAGATCTAGGTATTACATTATGTTTTTTCTTTTCTCCGATCAGTGTTAATGCTGCAATACTTTGAACATAATTAGAAAACTAATTTATTTAAAAGTCAAATAACATTATCAAAGCCTAAATTATATCATAGAAGCATTTTGACACAATTTCGCTATCACAGATGTCAGAAAGCATGGTTTTGTAGCTGTAGGCTTCGAAAGAGTTTATTTAATAAAACGCCTAAAGTCCAAATACTTAATAATGCTTATGTATAAAAATTATTTTCGCTATCTATATATATACTATCGGCGAACATAATAAAGCATACAACTCAGCCTCCAGGTCTTTCAAACGGGGACTCGAGCCTTCTGGACTCTTGCCAAAGCTGACCAAGGGAATTTCTGTCAGCCCTCCATTCCACCACTGCACGGGGAAGATGACTCCCTGGCCCATACCGCGAAGAAGAAGTCCGATCTTCTGGGCTGTCTCTTTGCGTCGAACTCCACTTTAGATGGCCAAGGGAAGGCACCGCCGATATTATTGCGGTTTGAAACTACCATACCTGAAACTATATTCCGGCAATGTGCTCTACGTAAAGGTTTATCTTCCTTGGACCATAAGTCGAGTGGGCCCAATTGTTCTGCGTACTTGTGCTCCAGAGTTGGCTACAGTCATAACGCGCCTTTTCCGGTACCTATACTCGCACGGTATAGTCCCCAAGTGCTGGAAAACCGCTTCAATACATCCAATCCATAAAAAAGACAATCGCTCTGACCCGTCCAACTATCGCCGAATAGCTATAAGCTCCTTGTTCTCCATAATAATGAAAACCATTATTAACTGCCAGCTCCGCTCAGAGGTATCTAGAGGGCCAACAGCTGATTAGCGATAATCAGTTGTCGCGGAGCTGGTGACCTATTCGTATACCTTACACATAGGTGGGTAGCGGCAATAAAGTTCAAGAGGGAGGCGCTGGCGATAACTTTGGGCATAGCGAAAGCCTTGGATCAGGTGTGGCACAGAGACCTGCTCTCAAAACTTCCAGCAGATGGGCTCCCCTATAAATTATGCAATTGGATTTCCAGCTTTCTCGCTGATCGGAGCATCAAGGTCTTCATCGACGGAGCATGTTCCGACCTTAAACCCGTGAACGCTGGGGTCCCACAAGGCTGTGTCCCATCCCGACCCGGTTTATTCTACATACCAATGATTTGTTGCAACTTAGCAACATTAATTGCTATCCGTATCACCTCGACTTTGTTTTTAATGGATTAACTTCAAAACTACAAAACCTATTTAAAAAAGGCAATTTATATATAACATTAAGCTACTCTTATTAGGAATGCAGCATCAAAAATAAAAAAATATCTTATTGAAAGCAGTCCAGAAAATAAAATTATACTATTCAAAACATAGCTACAACAAATTTGCCATTGCATAGTTTGATTTAAATTAACATGTTAGAGCTACAATAGCTAATAGTTAAACCTGTGGAATTACAGACCTGTATTTGGCTACAGATTACTTTAATTTTCTGACCTCTCTTTGTAGAGGTGATCAGCTTATAAATGCAAAACAAGTTGTTTTTGGGTCTAATTCATTTCATTCCCACATAGTTCTATCTCTACAGTTATCACGGATTTAGATTGGATTGCCCAATATAAATCCTACACCTGGAGAATTCTACAATTGACAATACAAAAAAGTAGTTTCCTCACGATGTTTACCTTCACCGTATGTTTCTGAACACAAAAAAATACACCTGTGCATTGACGGGAGTCAAATACACCTTAGGTTAGGATTAGCTATATTAAAGCTATAGGCCTGGTCGTAATGTTATATTAGAATAAATACAGGTAAACAATAAGCCGAGAAATAAAAGACGTATTGCAATAATCGAATTATATTTATGCACAATCCTCTTCAATATCTGCCTTATGTACATAAAACTATCATAAATTCTACAGTAATAAAATAATAGCATTTATATTGTTGAACGCTCACAATTTCACTGTCGATATTTACATACATAATACTATGTAATATATACTTTATCATAAGGGATGATCATTGCTTTATATTTGACGGAATAGTGCTATGGGAAATATTGAGGCAATAGTGTTATCAGCCTTACTTAGTGTAATGGAATCTAATCCTACGTCGAATTTTTGACAACTAACAAAACAGCAATGAGATATTTGAATAAAGGTAATGTTTTATTTACAACTTCATCTTAGTACACATCGCCAATTAAAAAATACACATCGAATTGAAAACCTCTTTCGTTTTTTTAAGTCAGTTAAATATACATCATATTAAAGTTGATCTTAGACACAAAATGCGATAAATTTTAAACGCTTCTACGATCATTATTGGCGATCGTTACACTACGGGTAAGATTTAAGACAGCGATAAGTATGTGTCGCATATGTCAAAAACGTCTTGGGTTTTGACATATGGGACCCATTGTCGACTGGGAATCTAACCCTAGGCTTGTCAAAATGTCATGAATAAACTTACCAATTAATTCAACATAATTTTTTACACTTCCATCAACAACAAATAACATTATATCACATCAAATGTTCAAACATTAAATCGATGGCAAATTAATATTTAATGTAACATAGTTTTATAAATTATACGCTCAAAGGAACTTAAAGGCAAATTCACCAAAAAAGTAATTATTTTTAATATCATTGACGGGTCTATATCGCTTAGAAAAATTTAAAAAAAAACGTGATTTCAAGATTAGTCATTTCTCTTTGGTAAAGGGAAAACATCTGATACCCTTGGCACATAATAAGACGATACGATTACGAAAATATAACAATGTATTCCATACACTTGGTAAAGTTTGTAATGATAGCAATGTCAACTATACTTAAGTATGTGAGGACGTGCTACAATCTACGGTTAAAGAAAATACTTTAAAAGAGGATCGATCTACTTGAAGGAAGTGAATCAGGATTGTTTGCCCAAATACGAAAGGCACTAAGACCCTAATCTACGTAATTTCTATACAGTTACTTACAGAGTTTGTACAGACGCAACGAAAAGCGACAATGCTTTCGATATTGTGCGACAATCTACTCGGTGTTAGTCATAATAGTTAACTCAGTCGATTTGTAAGAGCTATATGTCTCATATAAAAGGCAAGTGATGTATTGAAATGCATGAAAACAGCGGACGGGTACAAGCCAAAAAGCGCCGTTTTAGAACGAAATATTTAAAAGGAAAGCCTTATTTTAAACTTGACATTAGAAATACAATGCGCCTTGATATTGAGCGGGCAATTATACCGAGACACGCGAAGAATTGGCAAACTATTCTAATCATACATCAAATGGCCGACGCTATACTAAAAATAGGTCAAATCAATACTTTATTTGCGACTAAGAAAACAATAGGCCCAAAACCTAAACTAAATAAAGAAATATTTTATATTCTTTATCTCTCAGAAATCGAACCCGATTACTGTGAGCACACATTAAATGCATTTTCACTCATACGAAATATGTACACGCCTATATTTACATAGAAAATTTAGATATCAAATATACTTTGTATATCTTGATACGAATTGTGGAAAGGAGAGCAGATCTAAACTGATTTATATTAAACTAAGACTAAATCAATCTTATTACACTGTTTAATTCAAGCATTCATTTGTTTTTTAGGCAAAAATTTGTATTTTGCAGTATCCGAGCCTCCGTTTAGTTTGTCCAAAAATCTTTAATGATTCTGAGCAGTGTTATAAGAGTGATTTAGTTATTATTAATAACAACTAAATATTCTTAGTTTAATAATAAATAATCAAGAAATATTAGAGCTTAGGGCTTGTATAGAATAGACTAAGTGGAGTTTATGGGTAGAATTGTTTTTAGTCGTTCTTGTTGAGAGGAGCAAAGAAACTATATAATTTAACAGATTTGATAACTAATAGTTAACGATTATGCAAATCAAATATACAATGGACTTACTAACTAAAAAATTGTTTAATTTTTTGTCATTTATTTCCAAAAAGATATATAATTAGTTGTGGCTTGTATGAAAATAATATATTAAACTGTCAATCTTCTCCTTCAACTTTCCAAACGTTAACCAAACTTAAGTCTAGTTCCGTAATACAGGCTTGAGATTTGACAACAAATAGTTTGCCTTAACTTAATTAAATATTCATGTGAAAAAAAAAAATTTACATTTGTAAAAATTAAGTTGATGCCAGCCATTTTCCAATCTGTCGTTCCCTACGGTTCAACTGCGGAATTTTAACCGCGAAATTACTTTAGCTTGTTTGATTAATACCTCAGATTGCGTTTAACCGCACGAAGTGACCGAAAGCAAGATTGAAAAATGTATGTTTTGTGTTAAATGGGCAAAATAACTTAAAAATGACCAAAACGACCAACTAGGCGTTGAAATGTCGTCGGTTGCGAACCTTTGAGACGAGGTTGCATATCTTGAGAGCTGGACCGAGTTTCAGTCCCATGTACTTCATCATCATGTCCGAATTTAGGAGCAGAAGGGCCTTGCCGTCTATTTCCTGAAACACCAACAATTTTCTTCTATTGTAATTAAATCATTTTTTAGAGATAACAGAAAAAGCGCGGCAAATTAAAAAAAAATAGTATACTATCCTAAAAGTTTGATATATTTTGTGGATTAAACTTACTTGATACTTGATTTTATTTTATTATTTTTTACATTGATAGTAACTGTATTTCTATGAAATTAAATACTATACTATATATATTTAGTATTTTACTATTGATACTTAAAATGACTAGCATTGCATGGAAAACTAAAACTATATTTATTATAAAACACAACTTTATTCGGAATTTCCATAGTAATATTATATTTAACTAAAATATTTTTGGTTAAAGCCTGTATTCATATAACACACTCACATAACCTAAAATCACCTATAAAAAAAGAATTAAAATGTGTTTCTCAATAAATGAAATACTAACATGTTTCCTAAATAAGTCGGCATGAGCGGCCAGCGCCTGATCAGCCGCTGCGATGAACCCAATGACGTCTTCGACGGACCAGTCGGGGGGCGCCAGGGCTGCGGGGGGAGGGGGAGGAGCACCCGTGGTCGATGAAGCTGGCTCCGGCCTCTCGGGGGACACCCGGGCCAACTTCGCACCTGGCCCTTCACCATTCACTTTGCTGCCTTCCTGCTATTGACATTAGCGGAGGAAGACACTTTGATAGATGGTACTTGGGATATCTTTATTATTTATATATTTAAGTACACCACATCATATTTAATGCATTTTCTACAGTATATGTTACAAGCTATCTTTTCTAATTCTATTATCAAAATATAGTAATTCTGTTAACAACACTGTAACATCAGAGTAACATGTCAATAATCATCTTGATTCTTAATATGAAAAAATTTAAAGTATATAATTTTTTGTGAATAAATAAAATTACTGCCACGCATAAATAATTTTCATACATCAAAAACTATATATTATTTATAGATATTTGTATTTTCCAACGTCATCTATATGGAATTCTATAATACACACTACCCCCAAATAGGGATATATTTTCCAGGAGGGCATAATTCTCAAGAGAATAACGTTATATTTATAAAATTTGAAATAGTTAATGATTACAGCATTTCTAACTAAATTATGAAGGTTTGTCTATTGATGTATATAAGTATCGCATTTCCGCGTTGAAGAAGCTCTCCTGGAAACTAGTGATATGGCAGATGGCCATTTCTTTGTTGCAGTTTCCGATATAGAACTGGTGGCAGGAAGCAAATGGAGTAAGAAAGCCATATAACAAATTTAAACTGAACATTCAAAATCAGTAAAGTGGGCTTTATTATTTATTATTATACAATGGTTATTTCGGAGACCTCCAATAATCACTTTATGAAAGTCCCAATCATCTATTGTAATATTAAAATGTATTTGTCAACTGTAAGTTTAATTAATAGAAAATTTATTTCATCTATAAACCAAAAACAATAAATTTAATACCAATTTATTTTTACTGTAATAGAAAATACTTACAGCTTTGGTCCTCTTAACAGGTGCCACATTAGAAGTAGATTCCCCGCAGAGGGTACAAGGCCTCACGGCTGCCTCTCCCGTGTCTACTTCCACCAACCCCACACACCACCCGGCACCTCCACACACTGCCTTCACCCAGTTCTTCAACTCATCTCTACTTAAATCTGACGGAACTTTTACAGAATAGTTCTTACTTCCCGATGACACCTGGAAATATTAAATCATTGGTTTAAAAATAATATAAAAAGGATAATATAAGCATGATAGGAAGCATAATTTACCTGTACATTAGTAATATTAGAATAGCTACTCGAGGCTGTGAGAATAGCCCTGGTTAACTTCTGTGGGTCGGGATGAGAACTTAGTAGCTCCTTGACAAGAGTTTCTGCTGCCCCTGAAGCACCAATTCCATTGACAGAGGTGGGTAAATTGGGACTTCCCCCTTGGCAACTACTACGAATGTGTAGACAAATGTTGGGCACAGGACTAGATGAACCAGAGTTGGTAGTTCCAGTATTGTTATTACCGGTAGAGCCCCCTTCTGGTAAAGCAGGATTTGGTATACCACTTGGGCGTAACTTAAATCTGAAAAGAGAATTAGTAACTAGTTGATAATTACACAAGTCAACAAAAAAAATATTTTTCTTTGAGTCTGTTATTTAGTGAATATTTTCTGATTGTATACATCGAAAAAGAAGCAGAAACTCTATTTATAATAAATAAAGTTTGCTTTTGTACCTTTACACAATGTAAAACGAATATTATAGTGTTTTAGCAGTTTTATATGAAGAGTACGCCTGGCCAGTGATAGGAGATTTCAAAATGGTTGGATTTCTGATGGGAATGCAAGGCGGGTACACTAAATATCCGTGTTACATTTGTTTATGGGACAGTAGAGCCGATGCACTTCACTACCAGCAGCACTCATGGCCACAACGGAGCGAGTTTCAAATAGGACAACATAATGTCAAAAATGAACCAATTGTGAAGCCCGATCATATTTTAATGCCTCCATTGCACATTAAATTAGGTCTGATGAAGCAGTTCGTAAAGGCTCTGCGTCAAGACTCTGAGGCCTTTCTATATTTAAAATCATTTTTCCCGAAATTGTCAGAGGCTAAAATTAAAGCTGGTATTTTCATTGGTCCACAAATAAAGAAAATAATGGCCAGTGAACAATTCCTACAGCTCCTCAGTAACCACGAAAAACAAGCGTGGCTCAGCCTTAAAGCAGTGATTAATGGCTTTCTTGGCAACAGAAGGGCAGAGAATTACACGGAGCTTATTACTGATATGCTTCACAACTTCAAAATTATGGGTTGCAGAATGTCATTGAAAGTCCACATGATACATGCTCATTTGGATAACTTTAAAGACAACTTAGGTGCATATTCGGAAGAGCAAGGGGAACGTTTCCACCAAGATGTAATAAACTTTGAAAAGCGTTATCAAGGACAATATAATGAAAACATGATGGGTGACTACATTTGGGGGATCATACGAAAAAGTTCCAACTTACACAGAAGAAATACCAAGTCTGTTCATTTTTAAAGTCTTATTTGTATTATTTTTTGTATTTGTGGGTTTATATATGCCGTCTTGTATAATTAAAGTCAATAAAAAAATGTGAATTCAAAACTGTTTTCCTTTTACATGTAATAATTGAAATTAAAAAATAGAGCTCTTTCATAAAAAATAAATTTCGTTGTAGTAACTACAAAAGCAAACTTTAATAGATAAAAATATTTTTTCTTTAATTAGTTAGGCATAAGTAATCAAAATCAGAGGTACAGAACGCAGACTCAAAATTCGTGTTGACCCGTGTTATCAGTTATGATTTGTAATGTTAATAATTATAATTATATAACTATACTAGCCAAACATTGAAAATAATCATACCTAGATGGTGTAGTTGCATTCTTTTGACCTGGAGGCTGTAAAGGATGCCCAGCTCGGGCACACCAGCCTACTGGGAATATATCCCGGGAGTCATACCTACACCAGTAATCAAATGCACCTCTCCATCCATCAAATGTCACATGAATCTGGTCATTTTTAACTGCCCCCACTGTTGCACAACAAATCAACTGCGGATTCTTTTTATCAACAGCCTCTAATTTTTGACCAACAACAAATAAGTTAGTCTTTGGTGTGGGTGGTTCAGGCTGAAACACTTTTGAGGGAGCCATGTCAGCTCCATTAAGAGTTTTGAGCAAAAACATAGGCCAACTACTAGCATTCATGCGAAAACCTAGTGGAGGCTGTAACATACCATCATTTTTTTCACAATGACCAATTGTATGAATATCTCCCGCATCCACAAGCCTCCAAAAGTCATTTTTGTTGTCACTACCATCAAGCCTTAATCTTAGCCTGGGCCCTAACACACCAACTACAGTAGCTATACAGGTTGATGTCAAATTACGAGGATCTAATGCTTCTAATTTCATATTCACTTTGAAATCATTGACAGGAGGTAAAGGAGCCTGCTTAAAACATTCATCAGGAGCAGCTACACTACTTGTTTCTTTCATATATTCAGTCCAATCGAAAGATTGATATAAATCGTAGTAAGTGGTAGAATTATTGTTTGAATTACTTTCAGTACCATTAGCTCCATTACCAGACTGAGGGGAAGTAGTTCTCTTCTCGTTTTTCTTTTGATATTTATTCAGACAGTATGTAGAGCAAAAGTTTTTGTTAGAAGGGGCATTGCCGCGAATAACATTGTCGCAGTGTAGACAGGCACCTTTGCTGTAAGCCTGTCGGAATTCAGAGAGACAAGTCTCTGAACAAAACTCCTTTTTACTATTTTCAGTAGGCAATACATACTTTAGTGGTGTTTTACTTTCGCCACACCAAGTACAAGTCCGTTTTGGAGGTCTTCCAGGTCCACGTATTTTGCCGGGAGCATGTCCCGAAGAGCCGACAGTATTGTTTGACATTTTGATTACTACGCAAAATTAATACATAGTCGAAAACAGTCCATTCTAGTTAACCAAGCAGTAGTCACATTTTACAAAATCACCACAAAGCAGATTTTAAGTCGAGTGTTAATTAAAATACCCAGCATAAAATAATAAACAACGTCATTAACTATTTATGACGCCATTCCAACGTCCATATTTGTTTTTTTTACTTTTTAATTTTCTTATCATGGCAGCATTTTGAAGTTGCCAGTAACAATCATAGATAATAATTATAATAAGTATTTTTTTTAATAATACCTCATAAAATACTACATGACTAAAACAAATTATAATACACAGCTTAGATTATTTTACATTTTTAAGCATATTTTTTTTTCTTTTGCTTGTTATTCTATATTCTAGCTACCTTCAGTACCGTCGATCGGAACCCCTTCACGGGTAAAGGCCTCCTCTAGCTTTTTCCAACTGACTCTGTCTATGGCTCTCTTTCTCCATTCGTTTCCTGCTACTGCTTTTATTTCTTCTATCCACCTTTTTTTTGGGCGACCTCTTCTCCTTCTTCCTCCTGGTTCTAACCATACAGTTGTCTTTAAGGTCCACCTATTATCGGTGTATCTTGCTATATGCCCCGCCCATTGCCACTTCTGTTTTAGGGCATAATGTAAGGCATAATTTTTTCGCTTTTAATTTTATGTATTTTTCTTATTTTAAGTACGCTTCTTTCCATTGTTTTCTGGCATGCTACTAGTTTAGTTTTTATTTTTGTCTAAATAAATCATACTACTACATGCTTTCAGTTGTTAAATGGTATGATAGTGACAATCCTAGGCAAGAGCAACCTTTTTATATCATGAATCTCTTGATATATTTAACGATATACATCTATTTTCAGTTCAGAGACATTAAAAGTTTAATATTTGTCAAACTATCACCGTTATTCCACAAAGGTGGTATTGCGGTTCTTGGTGGTCTGTCTATCCATATTTCATATCTGTGTTTACTCTTGGCCTGTGCCCTGTGGATTCAGGATGCCACTATTTTTTAGGTTATTTTTGTGGATTACTTAAGTTAGGAGTTAGGTACCTAAAAAAAGTCAGGAAATTTTTTTTCGGATGAAAGGAAATTACTTTAAGTCAATAAGAATAATTATACGAAACATGTCCCATAATCACTCAACAGTACTAAACAATGCAGAAATTGCAGAAAATCGATTAGCCGATTTGAGAAAAAAAGGTAGTGTATAATAAATATTGATTGAATATTTACATATTTAAATGGTGTTTATTATTATATTAACACATTTAATTTTAGTTGGATGAAGTAAGAAAGTTTAAAATTCAAGAAAAAATCAACTCCCTAATTAAGGAAAACAATATCCTTTCATCAAAAGTTGTAAAGGCAAAGTTAGAGCTGATAAAGTTGGAAACACAGCAAGGTAAAAAACAGTATCAATTACCAGACAAAACCGCTTTTACTTCAGATACTCTTTTAGTTTCAAGTAGTACACTAGAAGCAATCCCACAGGAAACTAAGAAAGCGAAAAAAGAGCCAGCAAAGAAAAAAGAAAAGCCTGAAAACGCCTCATCTAGTGTTGACTCTGTCGTAGACATACGAAAACTAGATCTAAGGATAGGAAAAATTATTGACATAAATAAGCATCCTGATGCAGACAGTCTCTATGTTGAAAAAATTGATTGTGGAGAGAATATTCCACGCACAGTTGTGTCTGGGCTTGTTAATCATGTGCCGATTGATGATATGAGAGACAGAATTGTAATGGTCCTATGCAATTTGAAACCAGTTAAGGTACAGCTCAGACTATTATTCAGAATTTTAGTATTGTATACTATCCCAAGTAATAAGTATGATGTAACATTAACACTTGATATAATATTTAAAATTCCTTTGAATTTCATTGCCACTGTTATGTAAGGCAAGGTGACTCACCTTTTTTATGATGAAGGAATTACAATATCTAAAACATTTGTCTTATCTATTAATCTTCTAATTTATGTTCCAGATGCGAGGAGTAACATCCGAAGCAATGGTCATGTGCGCTTCATCACCTGAAAAGGTAGAAGTTCTAATTCCGCCTGCTGGGGCCATTCCTGGAGATCTAGTATCCTGTGAAGGATACCCTCGGGAGCCTGAACCTCAACTAAACCCTAAGAAAAAGATTTTTGAAACTTGTGCCCCTGATTTGAAGACAGATGATAAGAAAATTGCCTGTTATAAGGGCAGCCCTCTGGTTGTACCTGGCAAAGGACCTGTAGTCGCTGCTACTCTACATGGTGTCAGCGTGAAATGATGTATCAATATTAATATTTATAATTTTTTTATTACATTATTGTTTTTAATATTTATTTAAAAAAAAATATAAACCAATAAATTTATTTATAATCTATAAATTTGTTTATTTATCTCAAATGCAGCTAAGGCATGGCATTCCATCATTCAGATTCGAATGATATATAACTTTATTGCTTCTCTAAACTAAGTGTTATATTTAAAAGTACTATCTATGTTCATTACTTCACTCACATCACACAAAGGAAAAATTATGAAATAAAACAACAAACTAAGCAATATCAACAATATATTACATCTCATCTTAGGAATTCCTACTTTAACAACTTACTTATAATTGGATTTCTTTTTGATAGAAAAATAGATGTGACAAAATAACATTTCATCATGAGTATACCGTTCTACTCATTTAATATATAAAGGCATTTGAAAATTGTAACACAAATAACTTATAAAAAAGATGCATAAGTTTCATCATACCACACTGATCAATATTATTTGTATGCATATTGTTGATAAATTAGACATTGTATAAAATTATCTATGCATATTAACAAAATATAGACAGGCCTGCCTCTAGTTGTGTACTTTAAGCTGGTCCGGCATTTGATGCAATTAAGTCTTGAAATTTGTCAACATGAGTTCACAGTCTAAAATGCCATAGAAAACCTACAAATGGACTTTGAGTAAGAAAATACTTAGTATTATTTAACAAGTTACATTTTGTGACGGAGAAAGTGATTTTCAATACTAAAATGCATCATTTATAACATGAATACAGTACATCACATATCACTACATATATTATATCTATGTGCTAATTTTGTGCATCTTCTATTAATGACCAAATTTCGGAAAGTCTACTCTTATATCATGTGTGAAGCTTCTAAAAATTGTAAATAAAAAATAAATAACATATATATATATATATTTTGTTTAAAGAATATTTCAAATATTGAAACATGTTTCAAATAAGGCTTTGAAATGAACATTTTCAAATCATCCTATAAATACATTAATTCTATTTTGGTATGAAAATAATTAACATACATTTAAAATACTGAAATCTGTAATATAATTGGCGTGTACTTTTTATGATATGAATTACTATGACAAGTTTCTTTAGATATGTCCAATGAGTATCTCTAGAGTGACTTAATACTGTACGAAGTATTTTAGGAATATACTTTATAGTTTGCAGAGTATATTTGTCAAACATATACATTATACACCAAGCTACTAAAAATGTTTCAAAACGGAGTGTGCATGTCAGTTCTTAAAACAATAATTTTGCACAAAATTGTTGTTTGTGAATCACATATTTCATTAAACTAAACACTATTGTACTTACTCGCAAATATACAGTCACAAAATTATGCTCTTTTATATTAAAATAAGTACCTATAATAATTCAAGTTTAGAGTAAAATGTTGCAAAAAATCCCCATTGAAGACAGCACTTACCTAAATTGACTGTTGGCGCGTTTCTATACTCATTTGACAAGCAAACATACGTTACCATAGCAACGTTGTTATACAAATATAGACTACAGACAATGAGTATAGGGACGAGCCAATATGCATTAGATCTTTGGTAAAAATTTAAACATCAACCACTAATATGCAATTAGTAAATATATTTATTTTAAGAAGTATAAAAATATACATTGAACTCGCTAAACGGTTGTAACCGTGACTAATTTTCTTATTAATTAATTTTACTTTAACATTATGCTTAATACCGACAAATCGCATCATTAAGTAATAAATTAAAATAATTTTTTCCTATCAATTTGTAAAATAAAAATATTTATATTTTGATTTGTTACTTTTTTGAACTTTTTGATTAAGTAATACTTTCCAAAAATATTTGCAAAAACATGATAATTTTACTAATTTAGGCCTTATTTAACGCCCATAATATGAATTATCCTAGAATCTAAAAGTATAAGTTTTATATTTAAATGGAAATATTGTTATGACGCTAAATAAGATATAGTGAAGCGTTACATGGCACTGAAAGAAAATGGCACCAAGAGGTTTCAAAAGGTGGGTAAGAAGCTATATTATAAAAATATAATATATTTATTCTATAAAAATCTCTTCTATCTGTAGGAAGACGATATTGACATACCTTTAGATAGAACATAAATGTCATATGGAATGTCTCTGTAACCTAAATGCCAAATTGAAGAATTTGGAATAAATTTTTTTTAATATTTTGCTATTAACATAATTATTTCTAAGAAAAATAATAAACAAATAGAATTAATGAATATTTCATTTTAATCTCAGTAGATAGAGAATGTGAATGTGTTTTATTTCAAGAAATAAAGACAAAAAGCAATAAATTATGTTTAAAGAAAACAGAATACCCCTTATTAATTAAAAGTAAACAGTCTAATTGCACTTTCTTAACGAATGTGTCGTCCCATTCTGTCAAATTGTGTTAACGTTGTGATGGAAAGAGACAGGTGAGTACTTTGGTAAAAACTATAAACTAATTGTGTAATAATGATTTATTTTTTTATGAAAATGTTTACGTTTTACATAACTTATATATTTTAACATCTCCCTTGTTAACGGTTCTTCAACTGATTTATCGACGTCAGAATCCGAAAAATTATCTATAATGTTAGATTAATAAATTGATGGGTGAAATTCAGGTACAAAATTTAAAGCCGGATTAGTTAACAATTGATTTGCAAGACTCTTCGGCCTCGATCTATGTTTAATTGTTTTTAAATTTGTTAAATAGCCGTTAACTATTAATAAAGGACTCTGAGTACTATATTTTTAAATACGGTGGTTCTACGAACCAATGACTTGTTACGTGCATTGTGAAAGCGATAAATGCGCAAAAAGAATTTAAAAAAGGTTAGGATCAAGCTATAAGTTACCCATAGACAATAATTTTTTAAGTTACAAATCTCATTTCAATTTTTATAATTTTATCTTTGACTTTATATTTCCACTTTGAGTATATTTTAGTCGCGTTTTCAAAGGCTACTTAATCTAAAAAAACTCGTTCTGTTAACTGAAAGTTACATAAAAACGTTAACTGAAATTAATCTCACGAGGTAAGTAATAATTAATTTTTAAACCTTTTGCAATAATTAATTCTATTATTTTCTTTCAAACAAATTTTTTGTTACTGTATACGGTTCTGTACGTATTTAGTGTCAAATTATTTCCTGATCTACGGTATTTTACCAATTACAACTGTGTAGGCGAGAATGTCCTTTGGGGTTTGATGCGTCGCTGCGCAAGCGTCGATTGTGATACTGGGCCGAGTATGTGCGGTGTTAAGGGCGCTGACGTCATCGCCTGGAAAGTAAATAATTTACGTTAAGAAATTCCCCTTTTAAGATTTCCTTCAGGAACCAAAGCTTTTTCCAGCTCGCCGTACCTCATATACACACACGTACAAAAACACAATACTTGTGCATCAATGACAAGTGTGCACTACATTTAAAGGGAAACATTACAATTAAAAAATAAATAATAGAATAAAAATAAATTAATACAATTATTTAATCGAATATGCAATTTAAAAATTTAATTCTTTTTTGCAATTGTTATTGGTAACGGAACATTGGCTGCAGAAATTTTACGCCTGACATGGAGACTGTCATAATATGGATCATCAGTCTTCAAAACGTTTACTGTTGATTTGTTTTATTTGATAGAATATTTAGTTTCTTTCGCAGGATTTGATTATTCCGAATAAAGTTGTGTTTTTTAGTAAATATAGTTTTAGATTTCCATGCAATGCCATTTTAAGTATCAATAGTAAAATACTGAATACGTATAGTATTTAATTCAATAGAAATATAGTTACTATCAATGTAAAAAAATAATAAAATAAAATCAAGTATCAAGTAAGTTTAATCCACAAAATATATCAAATTTTTAGGGATACCTTACTAAACAGGAACTTTTTTTGTTAAAAAAAGGGAATTTGTTTGTCAGGCGGCCTCTATCGTGGAGTGCTGGTAAATTATTAAATCAAATTTTTATGTTCGACTGATAATTGTTTACATATTCACCATCCCATGCGGGTTAAGTGTTAAAAGCCGCGCAGTTGTCAATATTGTATTTTTCATACATTTTAATATTTTTCATTTCCTTCATTTAATAATATTCCAAAAGCCCGGGTTTAATTTTTGTCACATACTATACTTACTTTACATACGTACTTTAAATTATAATTAATACTATTTAAATCTGACTGATTATATATTTCATATATTTTTTGTTATCTTTTTATATATGTATATAAATCTTCTGGGCGTGTGTTTGTAATTAAACTCGTCGCAAACGGCTGGACGGATTTTGATGAAATTGTTTATGTGTTCAAGTGAATTCTGGATTGGTTTTGATCCACATTTAAATTATTTTTATTTGCATTTAATACTGGACAACGTCTGTCGGGTCCGCTTAATCTATAAAGGTCTGTCAACTGGCAATCAAATAAAATTATTCTTATAGGTAACACAAAGTATACAAAAGTGTTCATAAGAACGTCTTAAAAGAAATATACATTAAATGCTTCTAATTTTACATTTACTGCCAGTTCTCAAATCTGAAGAGAAGAACTGGCAATAATTTCTCCGGCACTCTTTTTAATCGCCAAGTTTTTTGTTTTACACAACGTTTGTAAGGAGCTGCAACCATTAAACCATGTTCCACATGACATCTTAAGTAATAAATAAAAATAAAATAAATTAAAAACAAAGATTTGTCAATGTGTGTTTGTTTACGGTAGTAACAAACTCACCTGGTAAGTAAGATCCACGGCTCGTCGCAAGTCCGCAGCAGGTGGTGTATCGTGTGACGGAGCATCAGAGGGTTCAGCGGCCGAGTGGGCGTGGCCCGGACTGAGCCACGCCTCTCGCAACAGATCGGAAGCGCGCGGACGCAACGCCGGCTCCAGTTGCAACATACGTCTGACACAATTCCGAGCCTCAGTTGACACTTGACGCCACGCTCCACCCGATAGATCCACCTGGAATGTATAACATATATATATATTCGACACAAAAAAAATACAATACAAAGTATAATATGTCGAATTGTATACTGGAAGGAACTGGGTATATATTAGAACATATTTACTGAATATGGTTACGTGGAAATATATCCACAGATTATAGAGGATATATTATAGGGATAAAATTAAATAATATTTATATATTAAGGTAGACTAAAAAGACACAAAATATTACACAAAAAACAGAACATTTAAATCATTTATAAATATATTATACATTAAACGAGAAATGAATGATTATTGATACTTATTAAAAAAAAGAATTAAATAATAATAAACTTTAAAAAACATGGTGCAACGGGCAACCATATCGGTATTAAGCAATCTCATTCAGGCAAACCTATTTAAATAAAACAGTAAAAAGATAATAATTGTAAAGAAATGCAATAATTCTAGTCCTAATTCATAATACAATTTTTTTGTCATTTCTAATCAATGAAATCTTAATATGAATAAAGACAATAAAAACTTAATAATTAATTTAAGATACCTTTCCCGATTCAATCCTGGTAAGTATGGCCTCCGGAGTGTCATCTCCCGTGCTGGCAAATGGAGTCCTTCCTGACAGCATTATATATGCGAGTACACCTGAAGGAAATACTTTTATATTTATTACTCAATTCGAAACGAGACTCTTTTGATCACGACTATAATTGGATAACCACGAATTAATTTGTTTAATTACAACATCAGGCCCTAGTAATAACTTTAAAGGTTTAGTCGAGTATTTGTACATTTTATTTATTTGTTAAAGTACACCACATCATCATAACATTTTCTACAGTATATGTTTTTTTTAACAGAACAGGAGTCAAACGGGCAATGATACCGCCACCCATGGACACTCTCAATGCCAGAGGGCTCGCGAGTGCGTTGCCGGCCTCTTAAGAATTGGTACGGAAATACTTAAGTGGGCAGCTGGTTACACATAGTAGTGGTGCGCGGCAGAAATTTCCTTAAAAAACTCTCAGTTGTGGAACGACGGACGTAGAAGTGATACAGGTAGGGAAATTTTACAATCTAACAATTCTAAACATGACAATTACGATGAAAACATAAATTTTCAATAATACAATAAAAATTATGTACCCGATAGGCGCTTAACACCGCTTATTTTTTAATTAAACAGCTCACTACCGAATATATGAAACACTGGATAAGATGTGTTTATTCTGATGAATTCGCGATAAAAGCGATTCTTATCCATACAAAAATCTATGGTTATGAAAGATTCTGAAATTTGGGATGAAGAGATCTTACCCAAGCTCCATATATCGCAGGCAGCATCATATCCGGCACGTTTCAGCACTTCCGGAGCGACAAAGTTGGCGGTGTAGCACGGAGTCATGAGGAGGCCATTTTCAGCTCTGAGCTGCTTCGCGAGCCCAAAGTCCACAAGGCGAATGTCTTCGGGACGCTTTTGAGCGGTCGCGAACAGGATATTCGAGGGCTTTATGTCTCTGTAATGAATTTTTTTTAAATTTTAATATGATTTTGTGAAGATAACCATTACCTGCAATCTTTTACTTATGAATATGAGTAATAGGTAATATATTTTTTAAATATGTCAAACTTCGACACATTTGATACCTCTAGAAACTAGATTTATGTTAGGTAATCGAGAATAAGCCTTGTGACAATAGACAAAATATTTATTAATAAGAAAATTACTTAAGATATTTTTGAAGTGAAAACTTCTTTAGCGGCGTGTTACACTTTTTTGGAATAGGTAAAAAATGTTAAACTCGCGTCAGGATAAATTCGTAAAAAGGATTATGAACCCTCGTGCTATGTAGTTACAGTTTTAATTCTTTTGTCTCTTTCCTCAGGTGCATTGATGCATGTGGAATTGGACCTTAAGTATATTTAAACCCACCCAATCCTCAAGTTATATTCTTTGTATGGATTCTATGAATAATCATTAATCAACGCTTCGACGATCGCTTGTCAATTACGAGGCGTTACCACTCGGTGACGACTCGCTATCGTACCTAGCCTTGCATACCCCTCGCAATGAACACCAGGAGAGCGTTGTTCTCTTTCATTTTCTTCTTCAATAAGCGCGACAGCTATGAGTGCCAATTCACAGTTTGTAAAATTTGACATTACGAAAAACACGTGTAGACCTAGTGGCAATGCTAACAGACTACTCGAAAATTCGTGGCCCAAGCGATGTCCACTCGTTGACCACTCGACGTTCACTCGTTGGCCACGCGAGGTTCATTGGTTGATCTGGAGTTCAAAGTAACAACGTGTTCAGTGAAACAGTGAACTAACGAGAGGGGCTGGTTGGTCTAATGAGCTATGACCTTAAGTCAATTCATCAAGGTTTAATTTTGCGAAACGTCTAAAGCTTTATTATTAACGATTTGGTCAGACTGACGACGGATGGAGAGTAGACAGCTGGCGCGGCGTATTTAATGTAATATAAATTGTCATTTTTGTGTACGATAGCGCAATAAATAAATATTGTATTCTACCACATAAATGATAGTACTTTTATACTGATAATTAAACTAACCATTCCAAAATATCAAAAATGCACAACTTGCATTCAAGTTTTCACTTCTGCCGGCCTTCAGTGCAAACCGTCATTTTTTTTAATTAAAATACAAATATCTATGCATAAATTTTTGTTATCAAATTTTTTTTACTTAATTTTGATTAAATTTTACTTTAAACAATTTGCAATTCTGTGTTTAACTTTAACAAATTCAACATAATTTTCAGTTACCTGTGAACCGTCGTATGCGCATGTAGATAATGTACCGCGTGCAACACATTCCTTAGTATGGGCGCTGCTTCCCTTTCGGGAAGAAAGCGTTTTTGGGTGATATGCTCAAGCAATTCCCCGCCACGACACAGTTCCGTCACAGCGAGAATGCGGCCTCCTTCCTCGTACACCCCCCGAAGGGTTATTATATGAGGGTGTTGGCTGTATCTGAAAATATAACAAGGAAATTACAATTTTAATTAAAAGCTAAATTTAGTAAAAAAAATGTTTACCTCCGAGTGGTACGATCTCGGTAACCAGGTATTTTATGAGTGGAGAAATGATTGGGTAAGTAAAAATATGATTAAAGCCATTAACGAACGAAATATTATTTGAAATCAATATAACCCAACCAAACAATTTAGAAACATGTATCAAGGCGCACAAATATTTAATAGATTGCCATCTAGTTTAAAAGAAATAAAACTTATTTACAATTTTTTCTATAAAAATCGTAAAAGTTCAATATAAATTAATAGAATAAATATGTATTTACAAAACATCAAAAAAGTCACTTCTAGCATTTATGAACGAGCGTCTAAGAAATGATTACTTTTGTAAAAATATTGTACATATTGTTAGCTAATATTTTTATTTTATATAGTTTATTTTCAAATAATTTCATAGCACGCTGTACATTACAAAAAATTCTCAATAAGTGAATGTAATTCTTTGAGAAATAATCTTTGAACCGAATTTTAACATTTCTGTTGTCATAATTAAACGAAAGTAATTATAAATAAACGTTTACAAATTGATATTTAACTCAAGACATAAAATTACACAAGCTACTGAGACAATTTTAATGAAACTTAGACTGTTCCTTCAGTTGGAGTAAATGATGTTAATTCTGTTCAGCTCGATATGACATTTAATTTTCGATAAATTTCTGGACAAACATACAAAATACATACCTGAGAAGTATTTCGATCTCCTCTCGAGGGTCGTACTGCAGTTTGTCCATGATTTTCACGGCGTATTGTGTTTTTGATGTCTTATGTTCGCACAGACGAACAACGGAAAACGATCCCGTACCTAATTCACCCATCAACCTGAAATATTATGGAAAAACTTCTCAATAATTTTTCTATTACATTAGTAGACTTACTGTAAGAATAGAAAATAAGGAAACTAATGATACTTTATAAATACGGGAAAGCATTCGTTTACTTGCTTCATAAAGTAATGGTGTAACTGGTGGTTTTCTTTATAGAACAGTGGGCACACGGGAAGGACAGGAAAATAATTAACAGTTGAAATCGAGCTTTCGTCAACTGTCATTTTCATACAAAAGTCTATCCACATACACCGATACGACCTCCCATGGATAGCTTGTATCGACAGATGGCTATTACAATCCATCGATTGGTTATTGGCACACCACTTGTTACAACATTTGGATTAAGATTACTATCTCAGATGGTGGATTATGAATTGAGATAGGTCATTGGGTTCGGGCGTTAAACCGACCGCAACAAAATCATTTCTATAACTAATACTTATAAATAACCAAATTGTATATAAGTTTAGACCCAATTCGACTTATTTTTAAAAGGCCGGCAACGCGTTTGCGAGCCTTCTGGCAATGCGAGTGTCCATGGGTAACACTTAACATCAGATGAGCCTCTTGCCCGTTAGCAACCTATTATATATAAACAATAAATTTATTTTATATGTGTAATATGTAAATAACTAAATATTTGATGATTAATTACCTGTATTCATCAAAGAAATTGTTCCTATTAACAAATCCAGACCAAAAGTCTTCAGTCGACGTCTTAGTTTGCGCGACATGATTTTGGTTTTCATTTGTGACCGTCTTGTTGTTGTCGTCATTCAATAGACATGGCGCCACGAAACTAAAGCCCCTGAAATATAAAATTATTATTTAACAAATTTCAAACAAAATTGACATTTTGATCTCATTAAATGCTAAAATTTGCTAGAAGGTAAGGACTTGATACAAACGGAGACAAGATTCAATCGTGATTTAGCGCTAAGCCTTTTGACACATGATAGTCATATTATCTATATATATATTTAAAAACTTGTCACAATGTTCGTTCCCATACTCCTCCGAAATGGCTCGACCGATTCTTATGAATTTTTTTATGCAGTCACTAAGTTTGAGAATCGGCTACTATATTTCAAACCCTAAGTGATAAGGTGTGTCCACCCCAAAAAAATTATTTTATTTTTAGGATAAAGTTTTCATTTTTTTAGTATGTGGCATTAAAACTACACACAACCCTTAATTTTCACCCCTCTACATCCCCTATTTTTTATTATAGATAGTTAGTTTTATTGAACTGAAAAAATGTTTCCTAGAAATAATATACATGGCAAAACAACGTTTGCCAGGTCAACTAGTATTACTATAAACATTTCATATTGTATAGTTACCGGAATAGTTCGTGTGCGTTCGCGGAGGCAGGGACGCCGGGCGAGTCCCGCGGAGTTCGACACGTGAACTCCGAGTCGAAGTAATACGCGTCGTCAGCGCGCGACACCGCCGGACGGAATGGCGGTATTACCTAATGCGTTAATTTAGTTAAAAAAAAAGGATTGCAATAAAATCTTAGATACAAACAATAATATTAATGAATTACAAACTTATTAAGAGGCAAAGGAAGCGTTCAAGTATTACGTAACGAATTTGGGGGGAAACGTTACGATGCGGGGAGGGGATTGAATTACGTGTTATTGTATTGTCTTTTATTGACATACCACATAATGGTAACTTAGGTATAAAGGGTCACTAGGTGGTCACGAAACGTTTTACTATACTTGGGTACAGAAAAACGTTACGGCGCGTTACATGGTTACCCTTTTTACCCGTCTCATTTCTCTCGTCTTTATCATTCCTTTTGTTTTTTTCTCACTCATCTCATCCAAATATGTATATTGGTTAATTTCTGTTATAACAATCTCAACTTTTTAAATCAATAACTTACCTCTTTTTTCAATAAACCATCCCAGTCTATGCTTGCAAAGAATTCATGTTTCGTTATATCTTCAATTCCGTTTGGACCAGCTCCTAAACTGTAAAATTATCATTATTTCATAAAAAACATATATGTTAATGACATGATCCGATTATTAAGATCACGTCAATTGACTATTGATTTTTATTGTTGCTTTGTTTAATCATTGAGATGTCTTCTATTGCTTTAAGAATCATAATTTATTTTGATTCTATTTATTTTATTATTATTTCATAGTTTGGAATCATTACTAAACGAATAAAAGTACGAATGTTACAGGATAGTTCTGATTGAGTATTCAGTGGAAAATTGTGGTGATGAGCCGTTGGACCGAGTTCGTTTAGTATATTGTGATTAAAAGTGAGATCGGTGCCTTGAAACCGCTGCTCGTTATAATTTAATTAAGTAAAGTGTTAAATGAATCAATCTTAATTAAATATTGTTCGACTATTATTCGTGTCTTTTGTGCTCGTACTTTGCCCACTAAACCCGCTAAATGACGACGTCAATATCAATGGAGTATATAATAGTTAAAAAGTCAAATTTAAAAAAAAAAAATTTCTTCTAATTTATATTTTTATTTAAACAAATACCATCAAACTTTACATGAAATCATCAATAGTGCATACAATTAGTATTGTTTACGATATGAATTCCATACAAAAATTACAATTATATTTTATCTTTTGATAAAATTTCAGAACAGCAACTTTATCCACTTCTGAATGTAAATATTAAAATATAATAATTGATTATATAGGTACCTCGTATATCAATGAAGTTAATAAATCAAATCTAATGAAAAGCTTTTATTAAATACCGGTTTTGTGGGTTTCTCTTGAACAGAGCTCTTAACAGGGACTGTGCTTCCTCACTGAGATTTGCTGGCATTCCCAATTTTGCTTTAAGTATCTGTGTCATGGTCTCATGCCTATTTGCCCCATGGAATGGAAGGTTACCAGTCAACATCTCAAACTGAAATAAAAAATTAAAATGAAAATTAACAAAAAAAACAAATTTTTCTTTCAGTTACATATTTAGCTGTCAAATAGCCTATTGTCACTTTCCATAATTTTTTTATGAATATGAATACCCCCTCCAACCTCACAAACATTATAATATTGGTAGAGATGTATAATTTTCTTTCATCAAACAAAACGTCTTAACTATTAAAATAATCACAAACCTTGTCAAAGCCTTTTAAAATTTTTGTGACTATAAGTTTTGTTTTATTACTGGACCAATAATATGATTCTATAACAGTGCTTATTACAGATGCATTGATGAAAAGCCAATATTTCTTATATGTACTTGATGTTACATCTATTGACCTACCATAAGCACTCCGAATGACCACCAATCAGCAGCAAACGTGTGTCCTTTTCTGTTAACTACTTCAGGTGCCATGTACTCAACAGTGCCACAAAAACTATAAGCTTTGTCACTACTTGGTGGTAGTTTTGACAAACCAAAATCGGTGAGAGCTATGTGTCCATCCGCATCTAACAATATGTTTTCAGGCTTTAGATCCCTGTATATGATTCCCAATTTGTGCACATGTTCTAATGCTAATGCTAATTCTGCTAAATAGAATTTGACATCCTCTTCAGTAAACATTACCTGAAATTTTGGTTTTATTCAGAATGATTTAATCAAATAAGATTTTTATACGTCAGGTATAGTTTTTTTTGAGGCACTTGTAATTAAACTTTGAAAATGGAACTTCTAGCAGTAGATTTTAAATAATGAAGTTTCCTAACATAAGACTAGAACATCTGACATTTTAAAGCTTAATGACAATGATAATTCTACATATATTCTAATAATTACAAGTATAGTAACATGTTTTGTACATATCTACAAGTGCTGCATTCAATTATTAAAAACTAAATAATTTTTGGATTTAATTACCTCTTTGCTAAGTCTTGAAAAGAGATCACCGCCTCTTAAAAAATCTAATATTAAATATAGTTTCCCAGCGGTTTGAAATGCATAGTGTAGTTTAACTATAAAGGGATGTCCCATTTCCACTAAAATATTTCTTTCCATTTTTGTGCGCTCACGATCTCTTACTTTCAATGTTGCTTTTTTAAGTACCTACAAAAAAAAAATTAGTGAGGTAATATAGTTTAATGTCATAAAAAACCAATATCACTGCATACTCAGCAATGTCCACTATATCAATTGTATTGATTATATTCTGAGTCATACAATTAAAAATGTTTTAAATCAATATAGAAATCCTTACTAATAAGAGATAATGTCTGGCATTTTTGTTTGGTTTACATACTGAGGTGATGTAAAAAGATAACTAACAATAGTCCACAAATCAGTTCACAATGTAATAATGGATCATGTGAGTGAATCACTGCAATATTGCTTATTGTATGCCATCTCATTGCTTGTAAATATACAATTTAACTTCTATATCTACAAGTTCACCTAAATAAATCTAACTAAATAACTGTTTTATTCCAAAGTCTTAAGCCTTATTTGGACAAATGAATTATTAAATTGAATTAATGTTAGCAATGAAGCAATATTTTTAGTGTTCATATCATTAAAAGATAGTATGTTGATAAACAAAACCAACCTTCATTGCATAAAGAGTGCCTGCATCAGGTCCACTAACTTTCCTCACTAAGAATACCTTTCCAAAAGAACCTTCACCAAGCACTTTGAGCAACTCAAATTGAGATGGGTCAGCTTTTTCATGGCCTTCTTTTACTACATCCTGCAATTCCACTTCCCTTTCAAAGCTCAAATCACTATTATTTGAAATGGTGGACTCCAAGCTCTCTGTCGTAGAGGTCTGCCGAGACCCAGTGTTTTCGACAACCATTGGAAGACAATTTGCAGCTTGTGCTGCAATACCACGCTGTAAAAAAAATACGATTATTTAAATATCTTATGGAAGTTGATGATCGAAATTCTAATTAGACTAACATTAAGAAAAACCAAATTAGAAACTATTAACACAAATGAGTCATCTCGACCAAATTTTTACTAAGGTAATAAACGTACTACATTAAAGAACAACAGGGCGTACAATATGCAATGTAAATAATTCACAATAATTGAAGGTCAGTGAAACTAACGTTGAAAATGTTTCTAATGCGAATAAGGAAAACATCAGTAACTGCGTACGATATAGTAAAGAAGCTTATATTAAAGGCTTATCAAAGCAAACAAAACAAATTTTATAATTACCGAGACATCTCCAACATTTCGCATTCGCCATGGATCTGTGGCATTTGCCAGAGGCATTGTTATAAGTTTTTAATTAAACACATCCAGCACAAATTAAGAATACATTAGAAATCTATAATTATAGGTAGGTAACTAGTAAATCTACGTAATTACTCCATTCAATAAATTGCAAGAACCTTAATTACTAAATAGAACTCATTACTCGGAAAAGTTGATGTATCACACTCACAGTTCACAGTTCACACTTCAGTCTTCAACATTCCCCTTTTGACTATTCACCACAGTTCTTATATGATGACAATTGACAACCGAATTTACAAAATGTTTGATTTCGGTCATATTTGATTACCAATTGACACACATTTTGACAACTAACATTAATCAAAAAGAAGACAGTATTCCTACTACCTAGGGCCTTAGTCAAGATGCCTTACCACCTCACTTACTCTTCATATGCCCAATACTACATTCAACACAAGTTTAAGAAATACATCTATAACCATTAAATAAAGTTTATACTAATATACTTAGAAACATTCACCCAATAAACTACAGATGCAATGAAATATGATTAGTTCTCTGTAAAAAAAAATTCCAAACTCAATTACTCGTTCTTGTGAATTTTGGGAACAAGTGTTTCGAAGTTTCAGCAATTATGTCGTAAGTACTTTAGTTTTATATTATATTTCTTTAATTATCATACATCAAAATAAACTTGAATATTTGTACTTTACGGTTATGATAAGATTATATAGTTTTTAATGCTAAATTGAGTTTAATTTCAACTTTAAAATATTTTTGTCAAGAGCAAAATGGCTTCTTAGAAGTTGTTGGCTGATTTTGATGATTTGTTTACGTCTGTTTAGTGAATTAATAGTTAAAAATGAATGTAGAGTCCTTCATGCATATTCATGCCTTTTCCAAATAGAAATACATTAAGATGATTTAAGATTCCCAAATAATATTGAGGTGTTCCACAGGTTTATCGTTATGGACAGTGCGGTATCCACGGACGTTAGAACAAACGTCATAAATAAGGGTTTGTAGAAACGAAAAAATATGTTTGCAATTTTTTGTTACGCATGGTGTAATGTGTTTATTTATGTCTCCTGATTATGATATGATGATGATGGCCTGCAGTCGTGGAGACCGCGGGGACGTGGAAGCAGTGGAAAACGGTGGATTATCATTTACAACTCAAATCTTATCAAAAATGTCTCATTAAAATTTACAACACTGTTATTCTGTTTTTCATTTAAAAAGAAACGATTGAAACAAATCGAACATACCCTATTTTTTAGTTAGTTAAAAAACTACATGGTGTGTGGGAGACCTTAGACAGGCGGCCATCTTGGCACAAAAAAGTCATAGCGCGCGACTCAAGAGGCTATGGTAAAATTACGAAAAGTGATTGTTTTGATTTGATTTATTAGCTTACACAATGTTGATTAAATATAAACATCTTGGCATCTTTTGAAAGGATAATTAGTCTAGTTTTTTGTAAAATTATTCTTAATTCGAAATCGTTTATATTTTTTTGCGTAAGGCCTAAATCTATAAAAAATTTAAGCATTTTTGCTCAGACTCAAATGTTTTATCCCGTTTTAAGTACTAATTTATTAACATTATCCAATTATTACAAAATGTGTTTTAATCTATATACTTCAACCTATGCTGTAGTATTTTTTTCATAGTTTTAATTATTATATTTCAACAGATATAATGGTTTTTGTTGCGATGTAGCGGGCGCGATGCGCGCGGGTCAAAGACGCGCGAGTAGCTGTACGGTTGACGTGAAAACAGTCGCGCGGCCCGTACGTGAGAGTGGCTAACAGTAGTGTATGTAGAAAGTCGAAAACTTAATTTGTATGGAAATGACTGTTCGTGTCGAAAAGTTTTCATACAAATTTAGTTTTTGACGTTCTACATACACTACTGTTAAGGCATCTTGACTAAGGCCCCTGGTCTGTAATGAACATTAAATGGTGCGTTCCACTAAGCGCTCACGACGATCACGCTCACGACCGCTGATTTCCCCATTCCACTTGATTGTGAATGTTACTGTCGTTAACTCAAGTGGAATGGATTATGGAGCGTTTCGGGCGTTCATGTAAATATTACAAATGTCAAGTTTGAAAATAGTAGAATTTTAAGGAGGTTAGGTAATCATAAACAATAAGTTTTGATATTTGTGACTTAAATTTATTTATGTTAAAAGTGAAGAATATCATCAAACATCAAACAACTTAAGTTTAAATATAATCGAAATGGCTTTACAATTTCTCTTTCTGAATCAAATAATGTGATTTTTCTTGTCGCCATCTTTAAGCTTTGAATATAATAATATTATTATTTGTCATATTTCAAAAATTGCGCCAAATTATTCTCAACGTTCACAACGACCCACCTCTTTAGATGGGTCGTTGTGAGCGTTGCGTGAGCATTTGTCATGACCAGTGTGACCGTTTTAAAAAATGGCGATCTACCAAAACTACAAGGTGCCAGTACTAAATAATACCAAAACACATGCTGAATTATACTAAAAATATACTAAAAGAAAAAGAGGATTTTTTTTATTAAAACACTTATTATCAGTTACTTTTTAATTTTACCAATTACACACCTTCATTATACAGACATATTCAAATAATAATAAATATTTACAATAAGTTTTATTACAAATACTAAGTCAGTATTCGCTGCACTGAGCTAACTGAGCAGATTTAGTGCGTTTGCAGGAAAGGCCTTTGCGATTTCCGAATCATAAAACATTTTGCTGAATAAATCGCTGAGATGATCCATGGCCCGAGATGGTATGTTATGTTCTGCCAACGCTGCATAAAATATAAGCTCTGCTTTTCTTACTTCTTCAGATATGGGTTCTTTCCTTTGAAGTAATTTATCATCGTTCTGAAAATAAACAGGATTTGATTAATTTGATGAATTTAAATCAATTATACATGTGTGTACAACTGTACATGTACTATGTATCCAAGATTCATTGGACATCCTGTAGAAGTAGGACAATTAATTCATGTACCATAAAAAATAAGGGACACAATAATCTTATAAATATGTTAATGGGGGCATAGCTTTCTTACCTTGGATTGTCCACTATAATGTATAAGTTTCTATCGATGTTTTTCAGAATATGCATGACTTTTAATTGTAGCGATTCTGCTTAAAAATGTTTCTCCACACGTTTTATACAAGGCGTTCTCATTATTTTTATCTTTTGTCAACCATGACGAAAATTCAGAATTTTGTTTCCACTCAGATCTATATTTCTGATCGTATTTGCGCTTCATTATCTTCACTACACATGCACACAGAGAGAAATAAATAAAGAACTAAAACATCCGTGGTCCCAAAAGGGACCTCATGTATAAAAATACAGCATGTAACGTAGATAGTAATACGTAGCTAAAGCACGATTCGCGAATTTGTTAGCATTAACCGTTCGAAAGAGACAAAATGATACATTAGCGGTAAACATCAGACAAAGACAAAAACATGTGAACGAAATACGAACGAATGGAAGTGAGTGTTTCCCGCCAAGCCCAAAAATATATCAAAATGTGTTTTAAAATGTTGAAAGTTTAAATGTACCAAAAAATACCAGAATATAAAAGGATACCAAAAAAATACTAAATTAGTTACACGGAGCCCAAATTATACCAATTTGGTACTGAATATACTAAAAACGGTCACACTGGTCATGACGTCATGAGTGACGTTTTCGCCGTGATCACAACGACCGCGGTCGGTATGTGGAATGGCTAAAGGAGCATTTTGATCGTCGTGAGCGCTTAGTGGAACGCACCAAAATTGTATCGTATATCTGTAATCTGTGGCAAATAATCTCCATAGGAAGAAAACAATTGTATGAAATATTATGTCTCCCTTAATTTTTATTACAATAACAAATGTAAGTTATTTTAGTAACGGTATATAATTTAACTAATTTAAATTAATAATTATTATCTTTTTTAATTACTTGCTAAATAAAATAAATACCCTACGTCTGACTTAAAATGAAATCATTTTTTTCGCATAGTAGCGAGCGTAACTTACAACATTATAAAGGTGAGGATTAAGGTACAATTATTCATAAACTTGGGTATATACTGTATATTATATTCAATTACCTGTATAATACCTTAATACTTTTTTGGACAAATTTCTAGAAATCTCAAAGAAAAATGAAAGTAAAGACCCACTGGACAATATTACTTATAAAGTGATCGGTGATTTTGGAAAATGGCAGTTTAAAATTGCATTGCTCATGGCTTTGTTGAAACTGCCAATGGCATGGTATCAGTTAAATATTCTGTTCCTTGCTCCTCCGCAAAACTTTTGGTGCGTAAAACCTAAGATATTGAGCCAATACACTGATGACGAATGGCGCGATATATGTGCACCCGTAAGCAGATTTTTGTTCTATAGGAATTACCTTATAATAAATATAGTGATAATAATGTAAAGCTTGACTTGACTTGACTTTTAACTCGTCGTTAAAAGTGTAATAAAATCATTTATTTGAGTTTTGACTATACAATAATAATTGATACAATTTTTTTTCGCCTTGCATTTAATATTGAGCAATTATACTTGGTCACGTTTTGCAGAAAATAGAAGAACATCCTTGTCTAATATTTGACCCAGACATTCTTGCTATCGCCCCATATATGGACAGAGCTTTGATACCATTGGTACCATGTCAAAAATTTGTGTATGACACATCAATTTTTAGCCGAACGATTATATCGGATTGGAATTTGGTTTGCACAAGACATTGGTTGATACATGTTAGTTATATGCTGGTATATTGTTCTTGGTGAGAATAAGACAGTGAATTCCTTTTATTTCTTTATTGTATGGTTTTACGTAAATTATATAGTTTTTACTACAAGTACCCTAATAATTTCCTCAATTCATAAATTTTTAAATGAAATAGTTCTCTTGATTTTTCTCAAATATCGTAGATAAACAGCTGCGCATAGTTTGTCCGTAGCAAATACCCTTACTTCCCGAGGGTTGAAGGGTAGATTTCCCTTGATATTCCACTCAAATCAAGCATGTAACTGATAGTTAACCAGTTACCTAATAACAAAATCTCTGCCATAGTTTACTCAAGCTGTGATGATGTGGGGTGTAGTATGTGGTGGCATATTGTTTCCGATGTGTGCTGACAGATACGGAAGAAAGAACCCTCTAATGGCCGGTATAGTGATTCAGTGTGTTGCGGGATTCTTGACAAGTGTCGTTAGACAATATTGGATCTTCATGATTAGCTGGTTTATTTTGGCTGTTGCGATCGGTGGATTGGGAGTCGTTTCATTCGTGATGAGTATAGAGGTATTCTAAACTATAATGCATTCAAAAACATAAATTGTATAAAAAACCAAGTCCCGCAACGCAGCTCTTCTACCGTAAAAAGTTGTAAGATCCATGTAAATACCAAATCGGTTGGTTTATTCAGTTCCTACTTAAGAGACCTTTTGCTTAATTTAATACGTAATCAGCTAACATAACAACATCTTATACTAACGTTTTAAATAAATACATTGACTTGGCAATCTGTTAGAAGTGCCTGAGAGTTGGATAATCGTCAGTAAGTGAGTGAGTGGCAAAATTCAGAAATTTGACTGTTTATAATTCTTAAACTACTGGTTAAATTTCATTAAAATACCGTGTTTATACAATGCCTAAAAATTTAGACTTGATCCAAAACGAAGTTATAGGGAGTCAAAAATGGTCTGAACTGCTTCCAGAAACGGATAGTACGGCCGTGCCGCTTTTTTGAAATGGCGGCAGATAAATTATGATTAATAATGTTAATACCTCTTATATTGAGTATATTTTTTCATTATGCATTTAATCGCCTCTATTTGCGTTATAGCGTATAATTTGGAGGGCCAGATTCGATCCCTGTAACAATCATTGTTTCGGGTTAAAGACGTAGAAACTGATGTGACATACACATCAGTTTCTTAACAGGAGAAAGAGTACGCAATAGAGTACAATCAATAAAGATTAGCCGTCTGATTTAGAGAGCTTTTATTACTATTTAAGGTGGTCAGTGGTAAATGGCGTACAGTTATACCAATATTATATCAAGTGCCATTTGGTGTTGGCAATGCAATATTGGCCGGACTCGCATACTTTCTAAGAGATTGGAGGCATTTAGAATTCTCGTTATCTGTGATATCTTCGTTATTTATTTTGTACTATTTTGTTATGGAAGAGTCGCCTCTGTGGCTTTTAGCTACGGGTCAAACGCAAAAGGCTTATGGTATTTACTTTTGATTATAACTTTGATAACATGGTATAAATAAGAAATATCTGAATCTCTATCTATATAGAAAGTGTAAGAAAACGACGCTCGCGAACCTGTTTTTAACACCAAGAACTGAAAAAAGTTTAAGTTTTTTAAAAATATTCTTTGATAAGGTTACTCAGGATAGAGGGTTTACCACCGCCCAATGACACCAAGTAACCATGCTAAATATAAATTAATTATTATATATATAATATATATAGAATCAACTTTATAGAAATACGGAATAGGAATCTAATTCATGTAGCTAAGTGTTATCTCTTGCTTGGCTATAATTTCTTTTATAGAACAGAGGCAAACAGTCAGGAGGCTCATCTGATGTTAAATGATACCGCCGCCCCTGGATATTCTTAATTTCAGAGTGCGTTACCGGCTTTAAAGAGTTAGTAGTTAGTACCTACGCTCTTTTCTAGAAGGACCCTTAGATTCGTTCGAAAATTCAGTGGGCAGCTGGTTCCAGATAGTGGTGGTGCACGTCAAAAACTGCTTTAAAATACGCTCAGTTGGGGAACGACGGACGTCGCGGTGATACGGGTGGAAATTCGTATTTTGCCTTGACGTCCGATGATGAAACTCAAAATACCATAATAATTAAGAAATTATTATAAACTACTAATTGTACGAGTCGCAGGCATCATCTAACAGATTATCTATCCATTTACATTAGAAATTTTGGAGAAAGCTGCTAAAATTAATGGACGAGAGCACATACTAAAGGATATGAAACATTTATTTATAAATCAAGTCCAAAAGCAGAATACACCCGGTTTTATGGCATTTATTAAATCTAAGTCCATGAGAAAAAATACAGTACTATTATCATTGAATTGGTAATTGCCTGCTGATTTATATTTGGTCCATCGTGCGTTTACAGAAACTACTAATCTAGAATTCAAATTAAATTTTCGAAATCAATCTTCGAGGAAGGCTTAATAAAAAACAACGACCTAATGTAGTTTAAGAGCTATTACGCCAGCGACCGAGTCGCCGGCGACTGTGAGTTTCTACAGTTTAAATAGATGTCTACGCACTTGGTCGTCGGTCGCCCAAGCGACTGGGCGACTCGCCGCGTCGTGGCGACACACAAGCGACTGCCGGTCGCTGGCGACCAATAGGAGCACGGCTTCAATTGGAAGCATTCACACTGCGAGCAACTGTCGTAACGACCGGACGTCGCGCACAAAAATGGAGAAACACATGGTCGCAAATTTGTATCTGTGCCAGTTATATGTGGTTTCAAAAGACACAATAGCTTATCAAACGAACGCACAGACATTCTTGCGTAGTTGAAAAATTTACGAGGGTATTTTCTCACGTCTCCATAAAATAGTTAAAAAAATTCCTTTTGATCTTCGTTCTTGTAACAAAGGATGTACCCAATACTCTCTTGATTTTCTTTTATTTTTCTTTCTCTTGATTAGTAGCGCTACTGTAGCAGCTTCTTCGACATTCATTCTGCACGAATGTACTTGGAATACTGTCGCTCGACTTGGTCTCCTGCCTAGTTGCCTATGTTTTGGTCGCCCGAGCGACCGAGTCGCCGGCGACAAGTCGACAGTGCGTAATAGCTCTAAAGGATATCCTTAGTAGTTGATTTACACCGTAAGGTCTGTTGAAGATGCGTTGCAATTTACACCGTAAGGGTTTGAAATAAATGTTTTGAGTTGGAAGGCTCATCATTTGTGAAACAGATGATCATCAAGATTCATTGGACGCGTTGCCTACGAGACTACTTGTTACTGAACATTGCTATTGTCTTTCAGGTTTTGCACTGGCCTTTCTTTTTTTACATTCTCTCAATACCTCGGTTACGTGGGATCTAATATTTACTTAGCTATATTGTTATCTGGATTAATATCGATCCCTGGCTGTTTGCTTTGTCTAATAATAATAACGAGGTTTGGTAGAAAAACCACTGTTTGGGTATTTCAAATAATATCCTCTTTTTGCTTCCTCATTATTTTATTAATACCAAAGGAAGTGTTCGCGAATGATTGGCCTCGACTGATGGTAGCTGGTATTGGATTTGCGGGATTATCGGTAAGGCATAAAATTCTGAGAAAGTGTTTGTTTTAATTTAAAATATAACCAAGCGAGTTACGCCCATCTTTAAACATTAAGAGAACAGTTGTTCTTTAAGGATTTCTAGCAAGTGCAAGATGGAATGAAGTAGCTTTAGCGGTCGTACTATCAAACGACTTGCATATACGGCTACTAATTTAATCCTGAATTTGACTCCCGAGAAAACAATTCACTCTAAATCAATAGGTTCCATAGTAAAACTAATAGCGACTCTACAAATGCATTTATTATTTATAGGGTGCAGTACCAGCATTATTTCTTTATTCGGGTGAATTATTTCCTACACTGGGTCGTAACGCAGGTGTTGGTGGTGTGACCACCTTCGCTCGGATTGCTTCAATGGTTGCCCCTGGAATTGTTTCCTTGGACGAAATATTTGCAGACTTACCTCTTATATTACTTGCTTTCGTATCTTTCTGTCAGTTAACCTTACTTCTACCCCTGCCAGAGACAAAAGGTCTACCTTTACCTGACACTTTGGAAGATGTATAACGATATTCATCAAACCAAGTTAGTTTCACCAATTTTATAGTTCAAAAGGCATACTGTATTTAAAAAAAATCCCTTATGTCCATGGAAGTACGAATATGTATGCTTTGTCTTTTATAAAGTACCACATCACAAAAATATTAACTAAAGGTTGTCAATTAAATTTGGACCGTACATTGGGTATTATTTGAATCAAACAAATTGAGAAACCTAAATAAAATTCATATATTTTTTTTAAAATAATTATTTATGAAGGTATTATTTTCAGAACAATAGACATGGAGAAAGGAGAAATAAAACATAAAAATATTTGTAACTATTTTATTATGTTCACACTTTTAATAAAAATAAGATATTTTAATAATTTATACAAAATGATTCAGTCTATGGAATTCCACTTAAATATAAAAAAATTGAAAATGCAAATGCAAAAATGCCGGATGGATTAAAATACAGAAGTTACAACATATTAATTTACTTTGACATACAATATTTTATTATATATAGTATATATATAATATAATTAATTGTTCTATTATTTGAAAATATTATTGTAAACACAGAATGTTTTTTATTTCTCTCTTAATTGTGCAAATAGCAAAAATAGATTAAACTCGAGAGCAAAAGTTAAAATGTTTGGACTAGTAATAATTAAGTCCTATATATTTATGGAATTGTTGTACTGTTAAATGATTATAAGTTATACATTTAGTCTTTCTTTTTATTTGCCATTTGATTCTTTATATTTTCCATTCTATGTAACAAAGTTGGATGTGAATGATACCAAGCCGAATATAATTTATCATAGATGGGATAATCCAAGTTATCTTTACCCAGCTTTATAAGTGAAGATCTTAACTGATCCCCATAGTTTAAGCCAACAGCAAAGTTGTCAGCTTCAAATTCATACTTACGAGAAAGGGCAGTAGCAAAGAATGATAAAAGAGAATTGTATGGTGCGAGAATCAATTGTAAGACAATAATCAAACCAATTATGACAGGTTCAGTACCAGGAGCAAAGCCTAGTGTAGTGTATAATAAAGAATTTTTAAAGAGAAAACCAAAAGCTGTAAAGAGCAATAGCAAATTCACCTCTGTAAGTACTATTGACTTGTAAATATGACTACACTTCCAATGTCCCAACTCATGAGCAAGAACACCCAATATTTCACTATCTGTACATCCTGTTGTAACATTCTTTACTTCGTCATGTTTTTCAAGAAGAGTATCAAATAAAACTATTCGCTTTTGACCAAAAAGCCCACTGAAATAGGCATTACTATGAACAGATCTTTTAGAACCTTCAACAATGTAAACTTGAGCAAGAGGGAATTTAAGTTGAGAAGCCAAATTTTCAATACCATTTCTAAGATTTCCTTCAGCAAGTGGCTCAAACTTATCAAATATTGGGGCTATAACTGATGGGTAAATAGTGAGTAGGAATAAGGACACTACAGTTGTGAATAACCATAGCCACACTATAAACATATTTCCTCCAAGCATAATAATATATATAGCAGCAGATATGATTGGTAATGTGATAACCAAACTTAATGCCAGACTCTTGATTTGATCTTTAATGAAAAAACCAGCTGTTTGTTTGTTGAAGCCATGCTTCTCTTCAAGCACAAAATTTGCATAAATAGTAAAAGGCATGTTAACTATGAAATTAAAACCCGTAACAAATGTCATAAATATGCAACTCACAATAATTTCTTGATCAGAACTAATATTCAAAATTCCAGCAAAACTTTCAGATGAACTCCAGACTGTGTAAACCCATCGTTTATATAAGATTATAGTTGTCAATATAATATTGAAGAGTTCTTTAGCAATTTTGAACTCAGATTTATCTATGCCATAGACACGGGCTTTTTTGAATGATTCTTCATTCAGCATTTGGTTCAGATCCTCAGGTATAGCGTTGTTTGTCTTGTATATGTGGAGCTGAAAACAAAAAGAAAATATTTAGGGAATGTGGGCTTAGGCGAATCTATACATAAAATGTCAAAGAATTTCATCATTAGGAGTAAGAAAATAATTTCCTGATTACATCCAAACATCCGTTGTTTATAGTGTTTACGGCCTTAAAATAATAAAAACGTACCTGACGCAACGATAAGTAAAGCTCCCATAAATACTCGACCCATATGAACATCAATATAAGTAATAATAGGAGATCTTCATTAAAATCCATGATTAGACTTAAAATAATAGTAACGTTAAACTTTATAATAAATTAGAAGAAATCAAGTACAATTGATAGCGGGCAACGGCCGAAAATTTCTAACCTCCACACTGACTGAACAATATTGACTATTGACCACAGAATACTACACGTATGTTTATCACGAGAACAGCAGTTATCTGCCAAGTTCTGACACATATAATACAGAATATAGTTGACTCGATTACTTGCTTTAGTTTTGCTATTTTTTAACTTTAGTAGTTTGTTCTGTTTGATAATATATTTATATGTTTATATTTTTGTACACAGGATTCTACATTACAACGTGTATGCATATTTAAGCAAGAAATGTGTTAAATACAAAACTGAATCTTGAAAACTTGCTAGCCAAGCTAGCTAAAGTATATACTATACAGATAACAGAGTATAGTAAAAGTAAAGCATTCAAAGCGAAATCGATGAAAGCAATTATAAATTTTGTACGGTACGCTATACGTAGCAGGTAAAAATATGCTAAATCCCATAGCTGTTGTCGAAATAGAAAAGCAATATTTTTTTTAATGATGCCCTTTTTTCAATCCTGCCTTCATAACTACATTACTTATAAATCATCTATTAGAAATAGTGATTAAGTCTCCAACGGAGTTTAACATGTTTCCTTACTTAAAGACTCCCAGGATTCCCGCTGTCTTTGTATCGTGACATGTATTGCTTAATATAATAAAGTTACTGATTTCCATATAAATACCGATTCACGATGTAAGAAGCTTAGTGTGGATTAGGGTGTCTAGTAGGAAACTATTATTTTATTTGCATTTATTTCGTACCAATTATGGCAGTAACATATAAATTAACATTTATGTTATTAGAAATTTTATTTATAACTATTCTTAAGTGTTGTGCAGATGAAAATTGTGAGACACTGCCTTCGGAAATTCATGTTACGAAAGGTGGATTTACTGTTACACAAAACTGTTATACCAAATAGAAATATATTTTGTGCCTATTATAACTATAGCCTCTTAATAATTGCCTTTTCATACTAAATGGTTATTTTACTTTCTCATAATTCGAATAATTTTACAGAGGAGTATGACGATATGGGAAGTTTGGTTCGGTCATGCAGTGGAGAAGTTGTGGTGAATAAATGTGAAGGGATATGCAATAGTCAAGTTCAACCTTCTGTTATTACACCCACAGGTTTTTTAAAGGTTCGTAAGTATTTCCACCATAAAATCATATTTCTTTTTTACACTTACTTACTTTCCTTATATACCTTACTTCCGGCATCGCTTCTGCCATACATTTTTGAATTTTTTACATTCCGATACAATTTTGGTATAACATAACACAAAAACAAATCAGTTAAATATAGAACTAGTAGGTAAACAAAACGTTTTTATATAGAACAGGGTAAGGAAGCTCCTCTGATTTTAAGTGATACCGGAAGGCTCGCAAGTGCGTTGGTGGCCTTTTCAGAATTGGTACGCTCTTTTCTTAAAGGGCCCTAAGTCGAATTTTATTATTTTAATAGATTTTTAAACATGGAGAACAAATGTATTTATAGTATTGTCTTTGATTTACATAACCTTTACACATTTAAAGAAAAAACTGTTTGACCGGATTGAAGTTATGTATTATTATAAATTTACAACTATTTAACATAATTTTAAATTTATCCGACGTTTCGCGTGCTTTACAGCGTGCGTGGTCACGGTGACCACGGTTTTTTTTTTCCCCTTAAAAATGTATTTATTTTAATATTAACACTAAGTTAGGTAATTGCTGTAACTTAATATTGTCATTCTAAAGCTAAAAATTAATTACAGGAATGTTTCTGCTGCAAGGAAAATTATTTACGCGAGCGCCTGGTGACATTGACGCACTGCTATGATCCTGACGGCCTTCGTTTAGAAGACGAAGAGCGAGCCACAATGGAAATCAGACTTCGGGAACCAGCTGAATGCAAGTGCTACAAATGTGGAGATTACAGTCGATAGTTTTATAGACACCGTTATAATTGTAATAAAAAAATCCACAGTAAACGTAACAAATAAGCGTTTTTAATAATAATAAAGTATAGTTCAATTTATATGTATATTTCTCATTTAAAACATTCCATATAGGTACGCAAATCATTTCAAAATCTTAAAATACAAGAACGACTTATAATAATATAGCATTAAAGCAGCGAGACAAAATATTGCTTTCGATTGATTTTTGTCAAAAGAAGTAATACCAAGACATATCATATTGTGTGTCAACGCTTTAAAGAATAGATGTATAGAATAGATAATAGAATAGATGCTAGCAGTATCATCAGCAAAGGTTGCGAGAAGGTTATTTTCAAGTTCTGGAATATCGCATTTGTATAAAAGGTACCTCAGCTTTTATTTCACACGATTTAGAAAATTCATCTTTTTGTCGTACCCTAAACATTATTTGTGCTGAATATAATCTACGAATATTTGAGAATTATCGAGTTAGTAGTTTCTTAAATCTTCGAATATTCTATCTAAATAGACAAGTTTTCGGTGCCACACTTTGTCTAAAGCCTAAGCTACATCCAAAAAGACTGTGGAGTAGAATTTTTGTTATTCTTATGGTTATGTAAAATGTTTTTCTCTGAAACCAAACTGTATGAGCTGCTTTTTGTCGATAATAGGGTTGAGACGTTTAAGAAAGAGTTTTTCAAATACATAATATATAAATAGGTAACCTATAAACAGCAATTATTAAGGTCGTCAGTTTAGCTACGTGTTTACGAGATGATGTGTAATATAATGTATTTTTATAGATTTTTGATATCATGCCAATGGCTAGGCACGCAACTTTCATCTTGAGGTATTGCCTTTATACCATGTTGGTGCACCATTTGATTTTCCATATATTTGCACAATTCATGTTAATATTGTGAACAAACACACTTCAAATGGAGTTAAACCAAAATTGTATAGTAACTATCTCGAGTTCCTAAAATCAGAACGCCACGAGACATCCAGGAGGCTTCGCTCGTAGACTCCAAGTGGGTGGCCATTTAGTTGTTCCGGGCTTATCCAATAATATCCAACTGAGAAGCACCGACATTTAGGTTGAAGTCTCCTCCATTTTCGATTTTCCCTGTCTTGAACGACTTTCAACCTGTGGGAGGTTTTCTACTGCCTCTGGAACGGAAATAACGTCGCATTGTATAGATACGACAGAGATTCATTCATATATTAAAATATATTGAATAATAATATAATAATTAGTTATAAAAACTTTTTAAGTTTTTACTTGTTTTGTTTATATTATGCTTTTAGGTTAGTTTTCTATTGTATCAGTATTAAGTTACTGTAAAAATTGGAAATAAGGAAAATAAATAAATAAATATTGGTAGATATAGTAGCAAATTCATTATAAATTTTAGAAACCCTAACAATACTGAATACTCATTTGGTGAAGGAAAACACCGTAAGGAGTTATCTTTTAAGATCAATCAACCAAATCGATAACGTGTATCAAGCTAAGAGGGTTGATCACTTCTTCGCCATTAAAATGTATAAAAAAAGTTAGTCTTAATTGCTAAACAAGTGGAAAAAGAATAGTACACAAGAACAGTGTCTCTTCTATTTATAGAGACTGTAAGTAGTGTTATTGAACACTTTCTTATGTTAAATATTATTTTTAGTAAATAAGGTTAGTTTTAAATTACTTATTAGTCTTAAGTTACGTTAGATCCTAGTGTTAAATTATGTGTTTGTGCTGAGACAATTTATTTAATAAAATTATGAGGGAAAGATTTGAAATCTGATGGCAACACCATTGGTGGTAACTACATACGTTTTTTAAACCTTGATATGCTTGTAAAACAAACTGGCTGTACTGCTAAATAATTATGTAAAAATAAATAAAAAATATTATACCAATACAAACGTTTCAGTTTTAGACTTGAAAGAATAGAATAATATCTTTTTTGTCTGCGTTTGGACATTCATGAAGAATGGAAGTCAATTAATGAACCAATTAAAATATTTATTATATTGATTTCAAAAATGCTTAAGGGCATTTCATTGAAATCGCTGGTATAATATGTTAAATCATAATACACAACAATATATGGTAGCAATGTTCTTTCATAGTACATGACGTATTAGATCAGATATAACTACATCCTCAGAAGTAATGAACATTAGGATTTAGAGTATTATTAAAGAGGCCGTTATCGCCATCTTCGATGATATTGATATTGTCTATTGGTGCGCAAGCTTCTTTTAACTCCATGTTTGAGTTGTCAATTATTTCCAACTATCAAATGTCATTTCAAAAGTACGGTTTGCAAATAAATCTTATTTGCATGTCGATATTACATAACGGTTTATTTTATTATATTACTTTGTCTTAGGTTGTTATCAAATAAAATTAAACAGCAATGAGGTCAGAAAATTCCGCTAAGTCGACAATATTTTTCTTTGCTTCGTTTTTTAATTTAATTTCTATTAATTTTAAAATGTTTGTTTGTTCGGAACTCAACTAAAAATAAAACTTGATTATTCTATGGACATTATTTAAAAAAAGCAAATTCCCAGTGGCAAATTTACAAATTTTCAAGGTATAGGCTGTGAAGTTTTTGCACCCCTTGCTTCTACAATCGTCATGTCCTGGATTATTAAAAAAAATCGGTTCCCAAATTTGCAGCCATAAAATTCTGCCTCCCTAAGCTGCAGCCTACTCAGCCTGCTGGTAAATCCACTGCAAATTCCTATATAATTTCTGGAAGTCGTTGAGTAGATCAAGACCTGTAAGAGGCCCAAATAACCGTGCCAGTCGGTCAGTTTTAATAGGAATATGAATCAGCCTTTTGATCAAAGTACCTTATTACTATAACTTTTAATAATAAAAAATAATTGTAAATTCGTGATTGTGTCTATATTTAAGAAATATATAAATTGAAACCCTTTCACCCTTTCAGTGAAGGTGAATAAAAGGATTTATGTATAACGCTTGTGACAAAGCAAGCCACTACCGTATCGGTTTCCCATATATGCATATACATATATACTTAAGGATTTTTTTTAGAAAATAATGGTGTAAAGTATAAAGTATTAGTAGTGGACGTATTCATTATGATTTAGTTAAGATATTTTTCTTCAAAGCTTTTTAATAAAAATCATTTATATAAAAACCACCCATTAGGCGTTCATGTATTCGCAGCTGGGAGTGTGTTTGTCCTGCAGGAGACACGTCAACTAAAACGATTTTAATGTCATTAGACTTGAGAACTTAATGAAATATGGTCTCAACTCAAATATAAGCAGCCGATTTTGTGATTTTTCTCATAACATTTTCATCTTTCGTAGCACATAGGTCACTTTTGAGATGTTTTCGTTTAATTATATTTTCACGTGTGGTTTAGTTTTATCCGCTTGTTATTTGCAAGATAAACCCGTAAAAAGTCAAGAAGTGCAGTTGCCTCCAGGTAGTATAGCCTATAAACTTTTAAATAATTTATTATCGCTCAAAAGACTTCTTGCTTGCTTAAGTAAGTTGATGTTCCGATAATGGGACAGCATGCCCTCTTTGTTTGACTATTCTTTTAAATAGTAAATTTCCTCAAAGTTAATTCTTAATAATCTAATAAAATTAATAAGTATTGCTTCGTATTTGGCGCCAATATTGAAATGAAAAATATGAACTAAGACTGTAAGAGAACCATTTCTATTGCTATGAAATCCTCCTGTGCCTCGCTGTGAAATCTTAATGCATTACGGCGGGGGAAGGCCCTTGTGGTTAGAGGAAATATTTCTATTTTTCCCCCCCCCCCCAAAACTTTTTTATTTTCAAAAAAAAAAAAAGTTTTGCCCCCCCCCCCCCCCTTTTTTTTTCCCTTTTTTTTTTTTTTTTTTTTTTTTTTCCCCCCCCCCTCTCCCCTTTTTTTTTTTTTTTTCTTTTTTTTTTTTTTTTGTTTTTTTTTTTTTTTCCCACACCATTTTTTTTCCCCCCCCCCACCCCCTCTCTCTTTGGAAAAAAAAAAAAAAAAAAAAAAATTTTTTTTTTTTTTGGTAATAAAATGTTTTTTTGTGGTTTTTTTTTTTTTTTTTTTTTTTTTTTTTTTTTTTTTTTTTTTTTTTTTTTTTTTTTTTTTTTTTTTTTTTTTATATGGGGGGGGGTGGGTTTTTTTTTTTTTTTTTTTTTTTTAAAAATTTTTTTTTTTTAAAAAAAAAAAAAAACAAAAACCCCCCCCCCCCCTCTTTTTTTTAAAAAAAAAAAAACCCCCCCCCCCCCCCCCCGCCCGAAGTTTGGTGTTTTTTTTATTTTTGAATGTTAAAATTTTTAAAAAAAAAAAAATATTTATTTTTTTTTTTTTTTTTTTTTTTTTTTTGTTTTTTTTTTATTTTTTTTTTTTTTTTTTTTTTTTTTTTTTTTTTTTTTTTTTTTTTTTTTTGTGTTTTTTTTTTTTTTTTTTTTTTTTTTTTTTTTTTTTTTTTTTTTTTTTTTTTTTTTGTTTTTTTTTTTGGTTTTTTTCGTCTAATGGCAGGAAAAATCTTAATTTTGTCTACTTAATGCATATAATCTTTTTAGGGCAAGAATGTCAGATGACGCCTGTAATTCATGTCCTGCAACATCCAGGCTGTGTACCTAAGCCGATACCCTCTTATGCTTGTATTGGCAAATGTACAAGCTATGTTCAGGTAATAGTTTTAATAATTTATTTTATAGATTTACTCTAGTATCCGTTACTGTTACTTTACGGTTTACTGGTATTACGGCTACATTGGTACAGGCTGCATTTTTCGAATCTTAAAATTGATAACAAAGAGCACATACACATTGTTGAATTCTGCTCATTTATTTACATTCGGTCCCTATATAGGTCAGGATCTCTTAAACATAAAGGTAGGATCCACGACCAGTCTATAACCACTGACTTGCCTGCCGTAAGGGCTCCAGTGGCTGAGTTCCAGAAACTGTATAATCCAACTGGATTGTTGGACAGCTTGAACCGGAGTTTTAAACTAAATATCAATGCATTGAACAAGCTTACGAGCGATGAAGGAGTCGTAGATATTCTAGAAGTAGAAGTGAATCAATATATATATCAATTTTATTCCAGGTGTCTGGCAGTAAAATATGGCAAATGGAACGTTCCTGTAACTGTTGTCAGGAATCAGGAGAACGGGAGGCATCAGTGGTTCTCTATTGTCCCAAGGCGAAAAATGAAGAAAAAAGATATCGAAAGGTAGGTACATCGTGGTTCAGTTGACGGAGCACTTGGTTTATTTAGACTCTAAATATTATTTTGAGTAAGTTTAATTTAAATTCAATTAATAAATGTATAAATTAACATGTGTTTTCACTTTAAGTTTTTAACACTAAACTTCACTACAGTTAGAAATTTACAGGAAATCAATATCAGGTAAGTGAGGGTCTACCCAACACGGAAAAACATGGCAAGGGGTCTACGACACAAAAAAGTTCTGGGGAACTCTGATTTAGAGGTTCTAGGCTCGTTTTCTAGTGAAATATTTAGACTTGGTAGGCACTGAAAGAACTCATCTAGTAATGAAACGTACAGGAATGTGTTTTCGAAACCAAATAGCATTGGGGCTTCTTTGAATTTTCAACATCTTAGTAAATCAATCCCATCAGTTTTAAGACTTATTATTGTTTAATTTTGGTGAGGTAAATGATAATATATAACAATCGATTTTTACAGGTTACAACAAAAGCTCCCCTTGAATGTATGTGTCGTCCATGTGGGAGTGTAGAAGAAAGTTCCATCATTCCTCAAGAAATCGCTGGTTACGTTGAAGATAGCCCTCTGCATAGCCAGTTTCAAAGACATTTTTAAAGCTAATGTTACATTGAATGTTATCAGGACTCATGAATTCATAAAGTAGAATAAATAAATCGTATTTCAGTAATTCGAATTATTTATACTTACCTAAAAAGTAAATCATTTATACTGCTAATTAAAAACATTTGTGGATTGTTAAACTGTGTAATATTTCAAACTTTAATATATACGTGATAGTTTTCGCAACTAATTGATTCTTTATGGATATATACCACAAGTACACGTCGTAATCTAAATCCTAACCGGGACGGTTAGAACTCACAAAGATAAAAGGATAGTAACATATAATTACTCATTGCGAATATACCAGTAAGAGTTACGGAGTTATACTTAAGGAGTATTTTATTTCATATAAAAAATCCATTTCAACATAGTAAAATATTATCCCGTTTCAAATTGTATATAAGTTCGTTTTAATAAAACTTGACTAATTTTTAATTTAAAATTTAAGTAATGTTTTTAATACGCCACAAGCTCATAATAGTTTACGCACTCGAGAGATCACTGAGCCAGTGGCGTAGCCAGGTGACTAAGGGCCCTGGGGCAAATTAAAAAATGGGGGCCCACTGCTATGTAAACTGATTAGGTTTTATCAAATAAAAATATGAAATATACAAATACTTTATAAATGCTAAGCTACTTAAGCTCTTTTTTGTGCAGGGCAGGTTAAATAAAAATATTAAACAGTAACAACATTAATTACGATTAATACTTGGTGTAGATTTGGCGAATAAAATGAAATAGAGGTGATTCAAGGGTTTATTATATTAAGCTCGGGCCTACCAACTGACTAAATAACAATTATATTTACAATTTTTTCCTACTAAATAACAATTACATTTACAATTTTTTCTTAGTTTTTGCAAAAGTATCAATAACTTCGTTTAAATCCAGGCATGATGCGGTTTTGTTTTCAATTGCTATCTAATTCGCGTTATACAATGAGCTGTAGCCGAAATCTTTAGATTTGACACGATTTATTGACTATAATGGACATCAATATGAGTGGTAAAATCAAATAAAATTGAACCATTATATTGACCAGTACAAAAAAGTTTATTGACATTAGCTTACTTACTCCTGAGACAGCAAGAATTTTTTAACCATTCTCAAAAAAAAATCTTAACTCGAATTCACAATAAAACGCACATCGATGAATAATAAAATGCACATATCACTATCCGTCAAATTGACAACACTGCCAACCTACAGAAAGAATTTAGGGGAATTCCCTAGACATAACTTTTGAATTTCTCTCAAATTAATGTCTTGATTAAAGTGGGGTTGCAACCTGTCATTATTATTTTGAAAATGGGAGAAATTTCCAAAAGTTCAGAACGATCGAGATTTCTGGTAAGGATTCGAGGGCCCCCTGAGCTTGAGGGCCCCGGGGCACGGCCCCGCCTAGCCCCTAGGTAGCTACGCCACTGCACTGAGCACACCATGTACACACGCCCTCCGGGCTCCGACTCTCTCTCTCGCTGTTGGCATTAAGGGCCTTGACAGCCCAGCCTGGGAAGTTTTGGCGAGCGTAACTCGGCCTCTTCATTGTTCAATGCACATCTAATATACTAATTACGTAGAGTGTAGACCATTGAGTATAATAATATAGTATTTTATTTTATGGAAATCGTGTGTAAAATAAAGTGACAAATAAAATGTCAACATTTTTTTTTTTTAATATTATGGCAATAGTTTTGACTTTATGCCAGTTTCAAGTAAATGTCAACTTTCTAGCAACTATTCAGTATTGACTATTGACACATGCAGTAAATTGTCAGAACATAGTACGACCGCGGAGTAATAACAGAAATTCGTTTGCTTGTTTAATGTTTAGTGTTTACACATTACTGCAAAGTTTAAATCAGTACAGTTATATTCTCTGATTTTATTTTAAAATGAGCCGCCGCAAACGTGCAAGGGTAAGTTAATTTTATTATTAAACCAGTAAAATTATATACTCTTGTTATTTAAGTTATTATGACCAATTTTTTTTTAATTTAATATGTAGGTTGAAACCCGCGAACTAGATGAAAAATTAAAACAAGATGATTCGGAATCTGATCAATCTGAGAAAAGTAAGATTGCGTCTTCAAGCCCAAAAACAGTCTCAGGTCGAAGAGAGTCTTCTTCCAGTCGCAATGAAACGAAGAAAGATGATAAACTTATTATAACACAGGAAGCAAAGAGCGAAGATATTGAAGAAGTTAACTATAAGGAAATGCTTAATAGGTAATTCTTGTTCTATTCATTTAATTAAATGGTAATTGATTTTTCTTATTAGATTGAATATATTTATTTATTGTTTAAACTGGGATTGCCAATGGACATTACAATCAAACCTTACATCTATACACAAACAAAAATAATAACAGCTAATTGCACAACATTTACATGTAAAAGCATGCCTGTTTGCCACATTGCATGTGTTTAGATGGTAGAGGAGCCTTTTTCCTTGAAAAATTTAATATTTAACTAACCCAATGTAGGATGAAGCAACATAATATATTTATATATATATAGCAGCATAATAGTATAATAATATACGATATGTGGTTATTCCACTTCACCTTAATTAGTAGTCAAGTCAAAGTCAAAAATCATTTATTCATGTAGGTAACTCAATGTACACTTATGAACGTCAAAAAAGAATGAAGAAATATACATTAAATGCTTTCTAATGTATATTACTTCTTTTGTTTAACTGCCCCATAGGTGTCATATTAATATGCTAGGCTACAGATCATGAGCGGGATTTAAATTATACCATTTGAATTTTTGGTTCTAATTATTAAGAACATTGTCATGCCTCAGACAAAAACTAAAGGCTCTTAATTTTTCACTAATTGTGTTTAAATTAATGTTGAATTTTAAAAATTCTTTCATAATAGTGCTCTACACATTCTTACAGTTTGGAAGGAGCTGCGTTTCAGTCAAGGCTTCCATTTGATAAAATGTCATCACTAGAAGCAGAATGTTTCTCAGACTTGCAAGGCGCATCTGCTCAAGCTTTCATACAAATAAGGAACCGAGTTTTGAAACTTTGGTTTGGAGATCCTAAGAAACAACTCACACAAGAGATTGCTATTCAAAAGATGGAGGTAGGTAGGAATTAATTTATTTAATGCTTTGTTGCATTGTATCTTTTGTAGGCTTTTACAGTGGTAAAAAGTGTAAAATACAATCAACTGAAACAAATACACAAAATATAAAAGGCACATAAATCAATGTAATTTCTTAATTATGTTACTTGACATCCCTTATTACTACTGTCGAGATATATATTGGATTATTAAACTGAAACACTCAAACTGAGTGTTGAATTTCTTCAAAAATTATTTTTTTCATTCATATGCACAGAAGAGTACAGTTTTGTAAAAGGGTGCTAAGTTGTCTATCACACTAAAAGAAAAAATAGCAGTGACTAAAAAATATCCTTGGTCTTGGCCTCAGATTACTGTATCTGTAGGTGACCAGATTTTTGTGCCTGAAACACCCCATTGCTTTATGATCATGCCAGTTTTCTGTCAATGTACAAGTGAGTGTTAAATGAGATAAAAAGAAAAGTCCATTGGTAAGAAAAAAGAAAAGCAATTCAACCTCTGTAATTTTGGGGATGAGAGTCGCATACTTAAGTCAACATTCATATTATCTAGTGGGAGCAGTACCATTATAAATAAGCCATTAGAATTGTGGATCTAATATTAATCAACTCTGTTTCCAGCCACCTTATAACGTTGATCCTGTGCTTGTCTTAAGAACTCATGCCTTTCTAGAGAGACATGGCTTCATTAACTATGGTATTTATGAACGGGTCACTCCTATACCATCTCCGCCCAAAGGGAAACAGCGTCCTAAAGTTGTCATTATTGGAGCAGGTAAAAACACTGATAGACACAGATTTTAATATTTATTTAATTAAATTCTAAACATTTTTTATGAAACATATTCTTAAGAATTCCTTGCTTGCTACAAGTGCGCATGGGCAATAGTTACTCATTTGACGCATTCGGTTGTTTACGAATTGATTCGAACATTTCCCCTAAGTGGCATGGTCGAGTCGGAGTAGGGAAGAGATGATAAAAGAGGTTGTGACACAGTTTACATAAAGTCAGTGAAGTGAATTATGGTGAATCAAGTCACCATTGGAGTGTTTAATTCCCTAAGAACTAGATCAACAAGCCCTTAAAATATAAATTAAATATTTTTTTGGAAAATACACGTTATTTTTAACAAAACTCCAAATATTTTTGAAGTTATACTTCTTTAGGAATTTTACGATGTGCGAGCACCGTGACACAAAATTAACAGAATGAAGTTTCCCACGGAAGATGCTACGGCATTGGACATAATTTAAAAACAACATTCGAATAATAATATAATTTATGTTATTTAATTTTTCAAATGTAAATGAACTTTATTGACTATAATGACTCCTTTTCCAGTCTTTGATTATTTAATTGTAATTAATTATTTGTATGCAATTAAAACCTATTTTTAATAATGCCAAATAAGTATAAATTCTTACGCGCGTCTCATTAGTACACGCACCCCTTTTTAATTACGTCTTACGTACATTTGAACATGTTGTGACAAAATTTTCAGGTGTTTCGGGGCTAGCAGCAGCTCGTCAGCTACAGTCGTTTGGGTGTGAAGTTGTTATCTTAGAAGGGAGGGAACGTGTTGGTGGACGCATAGTCACGTATCGGAAAGGGCCATATGTCGCTGATCTTGGTATGTTAAGTAATAATGTATTTGCTATATTTATGACTGTCTATCTTATATATATAAATGATATGTTGTTTTGTGTACGCTTCAAAAACTCAAAAAGTTCTGCACCGATCGAGCTGAAATAGCATAATATATAATTCGCATCAAGGATTGTTTTTATCATTTTCTTTTGTTTTTTTTCACAAGTATTGCAAAATTGCGTTATTTATAGTTATGCCAAAGTGTTTCTGAACGATTTTTTTCCTTTAAATTGAATTTTAGTAAAATCTCTTTCGTCCCATTGGATAGAGTGCCTTTTTTATTATTTAAGTTAATGTAATAAAGAGTCAAAATTAAATATAGTATCAATAATTTTAATACAAATTGTTGGAACTCAACCTTTTAAAAATGTATGAATTGGTGTCTTCAGGTGCTATGGTAGTGACGGGTCTCGGTGGCAATCCTGTGACGACACTTTCAGTACAGATGAACATGGAACTTCATAAGATTAAGCAAAAGTGTCCGTTGTATGAAGCTACGGGAAATCAAGTGCCTAAACATAAGGACGAAATGGTATTTTTTTTATTTGATAATTACTGACTAGCACTACTATACAATTTTATTTTATATATTTTTATTATTATATATAACCAACTTAGCTTATAATTAAAACAATAACTAAATAAACTATCGTAGGTATATTCAAATCACTAGCCGGTGTGTCCGTTGTTGCTAAAGATTATTACTGTGTGGAACCAGCAGCCCACTGAAGTTTTTCCGAACCAATTCAACTTAGGGTCCTTCAAGAAAAGAGCGTACCAATTTTTAAAAGGCCGGCAACGCACTCGCTAGCCCTCTGGCATTGAGTGTCTATGGGCGGCGGTATCACATAAGATCAGCCTCCTTCCCGTTTGCCCTGTTTTAAAAATGTTTATTTAAATTTTTAATAACTAACATTCTGGTGGCGTGTGATTTCTTACGTATAATTACATAAAAATAACTATACAAGATAAATTATCACTAAATTTAAACAAAATAATAGTTTATAATAAAATAATTTTGATGAAATATAAAGTAAATTTATAAATAAAACTCAGTATACAGTAGTAAGTAGTGTTGGCCTAGTGGCTTCAGCGTGCGACTCTCATTCCTGAGGTCGTAAGTTCGAACCCCGGCTGTGCACCAATGGACAATCATTCGTACTGATTCGACGGCGGACACGGAAGGATCTACTTGCCTATTAGTAAAAACAAAATTACGAAACAAATCTAAGACCTCCAAAAAGCACCAAAATTTGGACAATGTTGCCATTTAATTTAAATAAAATTTCTATTGGCAATTGCTAAATAGGAATCCACTGGACCGGCGTGCCCTCCAATAGGCCGCAACTCACTTGACCTCAGTCGGGATTTTGGCCATAAGTTCAGTTTAAAATCTATGGATTGTCGATACAGGTGGAGCGCGAGTTCAATCGCTTATTAGACGCGACCTCGTATCTCTCGCACCAAGTGGACTTCAATTACTTCGACGACACCCCGGTCTCATTGGGGCAGGCGCTCGAGTGGGTCATTAAGTTGCAACAGAAGAATGTCAAACATAAACAGGTGAGGTTCAGCGACAACAAGAAAACCTCAGACTCACTCACTCGCTTACACATTTGCACACACACACACTATATAAATACTAGTGGACCCCACAGACGTTGTCCTGCATGATATTTAAAGCGATTAGGATATTAAGCAAAGTATGAAAGTACCGACTGCAGTGCCATCTGCCGGGCTGATTTGTGAATCTAAACCATTCCCAGATCCCCTTGAACACACACAAAAAATTTCATCAAAATCGGTCCAGTCGTTTGAGAGAAGTTCAGTGACATACACACTCACAGAAGAATTATATATATAAAGATATTTTAAGGAGTTTATACTTAAGTTTGTTATGGAAGAGCTGGGAACCCTGACACAGGTATTTCTTAATTAAAAGGGTTCCCAAATCTTACACATTGTAATGCATATGTACTTAATTTATTTTATTTATATTAACCTGAAGCTTGTTCTTCTTCGTTTAAACAGCACGTTTTGGATGTGATTGGTCAAATCCTTCAATAAAGGCCTAACTTGAACTTTTGCTAATTGTGATTTAAAATGCTACTATGGACAATAATAACGAAGTATATTTACTTACTGCTAGAAGTTATTAAAGGGTCCAAATTTAAAGTAGACTGTTCAAATGTTGCGCAATTTGGGTTTGTATAAAACGTTTAGAATTATAAAGAGCAAGTCGTATTTAATACATAATATTATTGTTTAAAATAATTGTTAAATTAATTGCAAAATTATTGTTTTTCAAATTCTTCCTTTGTATTACTGAGGGTGCAAAATGGAATGACGTCACTAAGGCTGCATGCACTTAAACTGTTCTTATGAAGTTATGACTACATAAAATGTCTTCTTCATTCGATTGAAAAGTGCAATTGTACTAAATCTCTCTTTTCATCACAGCGTACATACGATTGGACAGAAAGAGACGAAACTACTTCTAACATTGTCAACTACATCTAACCAAACACTCAATTAACGATGGAACGGCATTTTGTATATTTTTGTACTAATTTCACAATTTTTCATGTCATGAATGAATTTTGATAATAAATAAAACTAGCCACCCGTGAATTCTGCCGCCATTTTCAGATTATAGAATATTAATGACATTTCTGAATGTTCACAGATACAACATCTCAAAGCATTCATAACTTTGCAAGAGAAACTCAAGAATAACATAAACAAGTAAGTTTGTTTTTTCTTGCCTAACTTTTTTGTGATAACGATTGCTAAAATTATAAATAGCTGTACTTTACTCTTTCAAAAATGACGTCACTAGAACATAGGCTAAATAAAAATCATGGTAACCATGGTAACCAACTCTAACGTTTAGTTCACGCAATTAATATGGCCGCCTTTTTATCAGATTTTTAATTTTAATTGTTTCGTTTATTAGTGACTACACTATAAAAATTGTTTATTTTAAGTCTGATAAGTATTAAAAATTCTAATTAAAGATAAATAATTTCAAGAACTCGCCAAAATGCTTCTCTAGGCAAAATGACGTCACACCAGTACAACAACAAACCTGTTCATTATCATTTTTAAATTACACAAATACATATTATATTTCGGTGAAAAACAGTCTCTGATGAAATGATACTCATTCGACCCCATTTCTAGTATACGTCGCCATGGTTACCATTTCGTTTCGTTTGATATATAAACCACGTTTTATAACGCGATGTAACTTTTGATAAACTTAGTTTAAAGGTGAAAAATCAATTGATTTCAGAATGTCAGACATAAGAGAGCTCCTTAAATCTATGAAAGCGGAAAAAGAAGCGTTGCTAGCGGAAGATAAAGCCACTTCCGAAGATGCTGGTATATTACACGAGTTTAACTTGCGAAGACTTAACCGCGAGTTAAATAAACTGTGCAATGAGTATGAGGCAATGGTTAAACAAAACGCAAGTATTGATGATAAGTTGGCGCAGTTGGAAACGAATCCGCCCAGGTATATATTGCTTTGTTTTCTAAAAAAAAAATTGATTGAATTTGACTAATTTTTTAAGAAAAAATCGTTTAACTTGACAATTTTTTCTTTTTTTAAGAATTTTGAATAAAATTAAAAAAATTGAATTTGACTCATTTTTTAAGAAAAAATAAATAAAAAAGAACTTGACTTCTTTCACTCTAACGCACCTGCGCTTCGTCACTGATCACGCCAGACCGATGTGAGACGCAGTATGCGTTCTGTCCCGCTCTAACGCGTATTGGCCGCACCTATATTACGTCATCGTGTGTTAGGTTTTTATTTTCGTTACGGAATTTCTTGATTCGGTCGCCGCGCTCAAAGTCCGCTATAAAATCTATGCAATAGCTTACACATATTAAATTTAATTTGTTTATACAAAAACCTAAAAATATCTAAATATTGTCACTCCCTAGAAGAATTACTTAACTAAATTTCATACTAGTAGTATTACACGACTGAAGGGATTATTTACATGTTACGTCATCGTCTAATCCTTACCGTTTTGTGTCACGTGACTGACGCCTAAATATTAATTTATAATTATAGAGTTTTTAATTATTTTAAAGTTGTGCATAACTTATTAATAAATTATATCAATTAATTCCAGCTCCGTGTACCTGTCGGTACGTGATCGTCAGATACTGGACTGGCATTTTGCAAATTTGGAGTTCGCCAATGCCACGCCCCTCGCCAACCTGTCGCTGAAGCATTGGGACCAGGACGACGACTTCGAGTTCACCGGCAACCACTTAACAGGTAATTTAATAAGGCTTTAAATCCGTTTAATAATAAGTAAAATTTAAATTATTGAAATCTATGTAACGGTGGAACACAAATTCGTGACAATTTTTCCGTCCATCGAAGCGTCGATATTCATTAAAACACGGTTATAATACTTAAAAACAAAAATAACTACTTCAATTAATTAATCTTATCTTTAAATTTCACTAAACAGAAATTTAAAAAAAACTAATATAATTTAACTTATAATTTTTAATAAAATTTCTTTCTTTAAATTAAACATTTTGCGACTATCGTTGTCTATCTGATCTTTCATACTTATTTATTTATGTTCTAAAACAACATGCACAATACAAAAAAATATGACGTCACACATACACATCAATTATATTAGAACGTAGTAATGAAACAATGTGCGTGCTTATCTGACTTCGAAGTAACTTACATACTAAAAGATAAAACTCAGGTGGCGCTAGGTGTACTATTTTCTCAATATTTTTATATAAACTAACACGTAGAAATTACAAACTAGTAATTAAACACTGGCAAACAGTAAAAATTAAAATAAAATATAAACTTACCTCATAAAGAGCGAACTAAATAACGGTAGGAAGATTTTTGTAAAATCTATATTAAAATAAATTGCTGATCGTTTGTCTCGCTGAAACTCGACAGTAATTATGATCTTGGAATATTTTTGGAAGTTCAGAAAAAATGCTAAAAACCACAATTGAATTTTCCAATAAAAACTGATCCTGGAAATAATTGATGGTTTCTGTCTTTTTGGAGGAAAAATTGTCACTTGATTTTCATATTATAGATTTGTGAAATCTATAATAGCTATATGTATTTCATAGCTGTAGTATGAGGCCCGATCTCTTTGGACTGTTTTAAATAATTTGTATTAATAGTAGGGGAGCCCAAGCGGGGATTTCGGGATTTACTAAAGCGCGGCAGATTAATATACAGGGGGATACCTTGTACCCGGTTAAGTACCTCCACAAAACACGAGGCCCATATATAAGGCCGCCCGTGAAGGATACAGGATCAGATTAGTAAAAAAAAATTGACCATCAGAAATTCTCGAGCGCGTCAGATTAAGGTAGGGTGAGTTAATTACATCCTAAAAAGTGTATATTCCACTAATCTGACAATTTGAGAGTGACGTAAAAAAAGGGGAGGGCAACAAAGTTGTAAAAAAAAACGTCATCTCGACATTCTCGAGCGTAGCTAAATTTTTTTTTATTTTGAAGGAAATAATTCAAGAATAATGAAAAAAATTATATATATCTGACGATTTCCGCAAGCCGAAATAACAAAAATTCGTCGATAAAGTTAAATGCTTACAGCTGCGTGATGCCTACATTTCCTTAAACCGATCGGAATCTACTAAACGGTGTTCTAAATATTTCCCTCAAAATTACATTTCCTGTGAATTTGAATCGATTCGGACCGATAGATTTTGAGAAATTTTGAAAAATCTAAAAAAAATAAGTTTTTTTGAAGTTGTACTTCTTTAGGCGCGTTATGAAAAATTGATGAGAGTGAAATTTTACGATTGCGCGCGCACCTATGACACAAAATTGGCAGTGTGATATAGCGTGCGCGAGCGAGATGGGAATAAGACAAACTACAAGAAAGAAATAGAATATGCGTGAAGCTAACTTCACGCATATTCTAGCTTACAGCTTAACAAGAATTTTGAATGACCATGACAATTGACATCTGACAATGACATTTACCTTTTAAACAAATATAGGAGTTTTAATTATTGTTTAAAATTAATAATTATATACCTAGTTATTTTCATTATACAAAATATTTGTGAAATAATATAAAATATTTGTGAAAAAACTGTGCTAACCTTCCTGAGTGCTTCAATACAATTGAGGTTAACTATCCGTATGTATTATCGAGTATTATTGTTGATTAAAACTGAAACATGAACCATTATTCATTGCTTTTGTTTATTGCGTTTGTTACAGCAACTTTTTAGAAATATTCTACGACCCTATATATCAATAATTGAGAACAAAGATTTAAGCACGAATACTAATAAGGAGAAAATGAAGGCTTGGAGCGATATAATAGAGAAGTAAACATTTTAATAAGTACCTGCATCTCAAAAAAATGACCACATTATTTAATCAAAACATCAGATTTAATCTAGCAAATATAAGGACAAGAGACAAAAAACAATTGATGAATCAGTGGAAGTGCACTAAATTGAATACAAAAAAAGAGTTGTCATCTTATCGCCGTGAAACATCAAAAACTGGAGGTGGAACAAAGCCACCATCACCTTCTCGAGACACAATGGTTTGAAGTAGATTTCAATGAATTTGATTGTGATGGTGTCGAGGTAGGAATGTTAATTATAAATATGATGTATGGTGATGTTCAAGGTTCAACCTTTCAAGCATAGGCATATGCTTACAACATTACTTTATTCCCCTACAGGGTAGTTAGAGATATTGTAATACCTCAAAACATCCATGTTGCACTTGTAGTACCGAAACTCTGTCCTGCCAGAAGTGAGCCCATTCCCACTTATAATGGACAGTGGGTATAATACACCTTAATACCTGAGTGCGAACCACTCACCATGATACTTAAATTAATAGATGTTATTTATATATTTCAGGTTATTACAAATAAAATCATTTTGGAAACAATTGATATCCCAAAAGCAAATAAAGCCAACAATGACAAGGTAATAAATCAGTTTTGACATAACTTGAATACTAAAAAAGCCAAACAAAGGTGTGCACAACAGTGACAACATAACTTAACAATTTCATTATTTTGTAGGATTAAAGAAAGGTTAAAGAAAATCATGTCGAACTGAACAACAAGAATCCCCAAACAACTCCAAAGAAACCTACAAGGAAGACACCGGTATTATATTTAAATTATCTCTATCTCTAAATAGAATAAAAGAAAGTTGCTATCCAGGTCTGTAGCATGTGCTACAAATTATATTATTAACACATTTATATAATTATATTAATATAAATGTGTTAAAAAATTTATAATATGAATTATAAAAATTTTAAGTTTTGCATGGACAGAGCTTAAATTAATATTCTCTTATTTGTTGCAGAAAGCAAGTAGTTTTGGAGAAGCCTCGTAGATGCACAACCAAGTAATGATTAATTTAAAATTACAAACCGAAATTCTGATGAAGACATTAGAGTCACTTAAAAATAAATAGTATAATGAAATAAAAATGTTTTAAAGATAAATAGTGTTTTATTTGTTTAATGTAAGAGAATAATAATAAATATTTATTTAATTAATTTTTCAAATGTAAACTGAACTTTATTGACTTTAATGACTCCTTTTCCAGTCTTTGATTATTTAATTGTAATTAATTATTTGCATGCAATCAAAAACTATTTTTAATAATGCCAAAGAAGTATACCTTCTTACGCGCGTACATAAGTACACGCACCCTTTTTTTTTTTTAAAGTGGTTTCTTTATCGATCAACTTCAAAAACTAATCCGCCTTTGAGCTTGAAAACACCACGTCGATCGCCACCAAGCTGGTCAAAAGCGGTTGATTCGTTCGAGAGATATCGTGAACGAAAGAAACCCGAAAGTGTTTTTTCGGGATTTCTCCGAAATTTGTGGTTCGATCAATTAAAAATTACTTATGAGGATGATAAAACTGCGTCGAATGCCGCCAACCGCGTGAAAATTGCTTGATCCATTCAAAAGTTATTGCGGTTTGAAAATTCCAAAAATAGTGTTCTATGAAACTTCTATCAGACTTTCGAGCTGGGAGAGCTCAAATGCATAGAAATATTATTTCTTTGAACTCAGCGAGCTCAAAATATCAATTTTAAGCGCACAGGAATGGAATTAGCGGGAAGTTGCAGGGATGGCCTTTAAGGTGAACCGTTTTTCTAATTTTTTTTTGTCAGATCAGGCGAATCCCTCTAGATAATCGTCAGATTATGAGACAGTACGTTTAGAACATAAAGATGAACCATATATATCTTAATCTGACGCGCTTGAGTATTTCAAAATGGCGAATTTTTTTTGCACATTATGAAAATGGCCGCGGGTTTAATTCCCATCGAAATCGTCAGATTAGTGAATGAGAGCTTTTTTTTGGTGCACTTAACACTCCCTTAGAAAATCTGACGCGCTCGATTAAATTTTTTTTTTCATTTTCAACCCTTAAATACAACCACCCGCATCATGCAAACGATCAAATTAACATACGTACATTATTAAAAATACGTAGGGCATTGATGCTATCAATATCTGACGCGCTCGAGGATGTCCATGCAACAGTTTTTTTTTACATATTTAAAAATCTATAGCCGCTTCCCCCACCGATGTAAAGGTATATATCATATAACATTTTTTTCTTCTTATCATCTAAGCTTTGCATCCCAATAGGTCTCTACGAAGCTCCAGTAAATCCCCATTTAGCATCGTGGGCTCCCCTACTATAAGTTTTGACTGGTATATGTGTGTAGATGTGGTATATTAAAAATGAAAGTATCGACAAGGATCTTAGTGTGAATACCGTCCTAAATACGGTTTACCTTAGCTCACTTAAACAGGCTTCATAGCCATGTGAATGCTGAGACAATCCAACTTCTTGCAAACAGAAACAAGACGCCTAAAGAGAACTAAACCTTTTGAGTTAATAAACCTAGTGCAGTGAATATAAGTGCAAGTGCGGTATCTCGGACACACGAACATAGTGTCAAAACATTATAGAACACTAAGACAACAATGTAAATACCTTAGTTTAAGCTGTTCACTAGTAGACAATTACGTCAACATAATATTACTTATTAGCCACAATTATTGTAAAGGTTAGATTGTTATTCATGTAAAGTCGCACTCTGTTTTGTGAACTTTATTGTAGGATAAAAAGAATTAAGTTTTAACACAAATATAGGTAGGTGAAACGAATTTCACCGGGTCGTCTAGTTGATTAATATACATATTAATGTCAGTAATTAAATTGTAAGAGCGATTACCTGTAAAAGACATTTACTGTCGCAAATGGAA